AGGGGGTTGAACTGGATGGCCCACAAGGTCTTGTTCTACTCTATGATTCTATGATTTTAAGTGTTAGATCTAAGAATATCCAAAAGCTCCCAAAGCAGGCATCTTCAAACTACGGCCCTCCAGCCCTAGCCAGCTTGTTCAATGGTCAGGAATTCTGGATTGGAAGCCCAAACTGCTGGAGGGTCGGAGATTGCTTTAAGGAATACTTTAAGGGCAACATCCTCTTATCCAGCACAGACTAAACCCATGAATGACAGTATAGCAATGGGAAGAAGAGATACCATACACTCTGAAGAAAGAAGTGAAAGAAGCCTTTAACCCAGTGTTTCTCAATCTTCCTAATGCCCCTTAATATAGTTCCTCATGTTGTGGTGACCCATAAAATTATTTTTGTTGCTACTTCATAACTGTAATTTGATACTGTTATGAACTGTAATGTCAATATCTGATATGCAGGATGTATTTTCATTCACTGGATCAAATTTGGCACAAATACCCGATACACCCCAATTTGAATACTGGTGGGGTTGGGAGGGATTATTTTGTCATTTGGGAGTTATCGTTGCTGGGATTTATAGTTACCCTACAATCAAAGAGTATCCTGAACTCCACCAATGATAGAATTGAACCAAACTTGGCACACAGAACTCCCATGACCAAGAGGAAATACTGGGAGAGTTTGGTGGGCATTGACCTTTAATTTGGGAGTTGTAGTTTATCTGCATCCAGAGAGCAGTGTGGACTCAAACAGTGATGGATCTGGACCAAAGTTGGCATGAATACTCAATATGCCCAAATGTGTGTTGGTAGTTGCTGGAATTTATAGTTCACCTACAATCACAGCAGGAGAAGGGATTTTGGTGGGAGGATTCACTGTCTGTTTCTGAAAAGGAAGAGGACGGGTGGAGAGATCTTCAGCCTTCTCTGCCAAATGGGTTCCTAAGACCATCAGAAATATTCATCTTCTGATGTTCTTTGGTGACCCCTCTGAAACCCCCCTTGTGACCCACCCCAGGGGTCCCGACCCCCAGGTTGAGAAACACTGCTATAACCAATATTCAAAGCAGTTATTTTCATAATATGTGGGGAAGGCAGGAAAATAAGTAACATAGACCATTGAAGGAAAGTAGAAAATCTTCCAAGCTGCTTCTTTCTGATTAGGTACATATACTGGGCTAATGCATGGTGGCAAGATTACATGAAAAAGCAAAATATGGGCAAAGACATTTTGTTTTTCTAAAATGGAAGATCAAAAAAGTAAAACTGTTGTCGCTCAAACAATAAAGGCAGATAACAGTATACATTGTAGAATAAACAGCTGCAGATAAGCTTGCTTATACCGAGATAGCAGTCCTATGAAGAAAGGGCAAATGCAAATAGGAAAATAGCAGGCGCTCATCGGGTGTCCAAGAAGAAATAAGAAGCAAAATCTAGAAGAAAGCAGCGTGACAGAGTTTATTAAGTATTGCTGGAGCATACAAACTCCAAACACACAATCGGTTTTCATATAGGCAATTCAATGTACAGGTCAGTATTGCTCAGCCAAATATTTCAGGTCGGACAAGAATGGGAATTATTACACAACATGCTTTCAAAATGGAAAGAGAACTGCCCTTTGAGCAAAGCGTCTGGAGACTTCTCCCCAATTTTTTTTTCAACCGCATTGAAATGAGTCTGATAATAAACTTCCTTTTGTATCTGCTTGAAGACAGTCTCAAACTTCCACCTGAATAGGGCATATACAGTTTTAAATATAGGAAACAGTGTGTCATACATTAAGGTATTTTCTAAACAACAGTGTATGGCAGGGTTTTTATATAACAGATGCTCTGTTTAATTCATAGTTTTAGGTAGATGTGTGTAGGATATAAAAAGGACGGGAGTAATATCGATTGCAAATATTTTTTCTTATTTTTTCATGATTTTTCATATATCTAACTATATAACTTATTTTAGATGCTATCATACTTATCAAACTTATTATTTGGCAGTGGAAAACCTATAAATCATTTTGTTAAAACACTGAATCTTGAGCAGGGTACAAGCAGTCCCCAAGTTGCAAACATCCCACTTACAGACAACTCCTAGTTACAAACGGGGTTAAGACAAAAGGAAGTGAAGGGAATCTGTCCCCAGGAAGAGAAATTCACTCTTGAAAGCATTATCATGGGAGAAAGATGTCTACACTGAAGGTTTATTACCAATCCTTGCTTCCACAACAACCCAAAATGTTCAAAATCCAATTGTCACAGGGACAGAAAGTGAGGTGAAATCTTCTGAACAGGGGCACAGACAGGATAATAATAATAATAATAATAATAATAATAATAATAATAATAATAATAATAATTTATTTATAGATTGCCCTGTCCCCCCTGAGGGGACTCAGGGGCATTAACCCTTCCCAATGCTATAAAAAATATTTTTTTTGGTTGGAGTTACACTTAAAAATGTCCTTTTTCCAACTTACATACAACTTGAACTTAAGAACAAACCTACAGAACCTATCATGTTCATAACTTGTATTTGCTAGTATGGTATCTTGTTATGAGGGACTGAAACCACAATTCTAGGATCAGTACATTGCCAGGGAGATGTAACAAGTAGCCCAGTAGCACCCAGAAAGCTTCATGTTTACACAGAGTTTGAAACAGTACTCCTGTTTCCATACCTACATCTGTGTCTTGTTTTATTCAATGCCATCACACATAAACATTGGTAGATTTTGCATGCAATTCTAAATCATTGTATCACTACATGTGATGAGCCAAGGAAGCCTGAACAAAGCTTTGCGCTCATCTGCTCTCTTCTCCCCTTTTATGTGGGGACAGCCTGTATTCAATAAATTGCCTTGTACTTTAAAATACGATGTAAATTTTAAGGGATATTCAAAGTGTTGAATACTAGGTAAAGCAATCACTAAAACATTTTATTGGTATGCATAATTGTGAATCTCACCAAGTACTCAATAATATCAACCCCACGAAGTTGCAAGTACACCAGTGTTAAACATTGGGTCATGTTCTTCCATATCTTGTTCTTCTTCAACTTGCATTCAAACATAAGCCACAAAAGAACGTCCCACTTCTAGACAACCAGACTAAGGACATACTGGTAATCGTAAAAATTCAATGTGATGAGGAAAATAGCAGAGGCCAAAATACCTTAGAGCTCTATCTAAACCTCATTGAGAAAAGTTAGTAACAACAAAGTTGCCTCCAAATTAAGTATTTAAGTGCAAATGTGGAGTTTGTTTCCCAAAAGTACCAAATCTAGCTGAACATTTTTTTTTACAGAAATTGAGAAAATGTGCTGAGGATATGGATTTTTTTTGCTACAAAATGTAATTTTCCAAGCCCTGTACCAAAGTGATTTGATATATTTTGATCTGTACACAATGTTCTAGTCCTAGCAAACAATGTGCTGCCACCTATATGCAGATGATACACAAGTCTACAACTCTTTTCCACCAAATTCCAAGGAAGCTCCCCGGATCCTATACCAATGCCCGGCAGCTGTGACGGGTTGGATGAGGTTCAACAAGCTCAGGCTTAATCCTGACCAGATAGAGGTCCTCCCGGTCAGTCGCGAGGCTGATCGGGGTATAGGGTGGCATCCCGTGCTTGATGGGGTTACACTCCCCTTGAGGACGCAAGTCCACAATCCGGGGGTTCTCCTGGACTCAGCGCTGACACTTGAAGCTCAGGTGTTGGCGGTGGCTGGGAGGGTCTTTGCAGTTAAAACTTGTGCGCCAGCTGTGACCATATCTTGAGAAGTCTGACTTGGCCACGGTGGTCCATGCCTTAGTTACATCCAGAATGGACTACTGTAATGCACTCTACGTGGGACTGCCTTTGAAGACGAGTAGGAAACTGAAGTTAGTGTAAAGGTTGGCAGCCAAATTAACCAGGGCGAGCTTTAGGGAGCAAACCACCCCTCTTTTAAAGCAGCTCCACTGGCTTCTGACAAGTTTCTGTGTCCAATTCAAAGTGCAGGTGATTACCTATTAAGCCCTATATGCTTCGGGTCCAATCTATCTTCAAGACCACATCTTCTATGAACCGGGGCAGGCATTGAAATCTGCTGGGGAGGCCCATCTCTTGGTCCCACCACTGTCTCCAGTAAGGTGGGTGGGGACAAAAGGGAGTGCCTTCTTGGTAGTGGCTCCCCAGCTCTGGAATACCCTCCCTAATGATATTAGATTAGCCCCTACTCTTCAAGCCTTTTGGGCGAGTTTAAAAACATGGTTCTTCAGGCGGACCTTTGACCCTATGTAATCTATGGTCAGCTTGATGATCCACTGATTGCGTCATTCTGCACTTTGATTTGTTACTGCAGATAGCCAGCGTTATTCGCAAGTTCTACCGTATTTTAGGAAATTTTACAATTTTTTATTTTTATAGTTCTTATAATTTTATTAGTTGGGATTTTATGTGTGTTGTCATTTTTATATGTATGTCACTGTGTATATACTTATGCATTGTTGTTTATACGTGGCACTTATGAAGCACCCTGAGTTCCTTTGAGGAGAAGGTGGCGGGGTATAAATAAAGATGATGATGATGATTATTATACAACATTTTTCAATTTTGGGGGGAGTGATTTGGTACCTTTTGGAAACAAACTCCACAAATAATTTCATTTTCAAAATATGTTGTTATGTTTGTTGGGTAAGAGGCTTTTCCTCTACCTTCTGTCACATTTATAAGGTACTGGAAGAATAATATTATAAGTGTATCTTACAAAGAATGTGAAGACCTCTGGTGTGGGTTACAAAACAGGACAATGGAGGAAAACATGCTATTCAATCTGCAAAAACACACAAGATGTTTCTGAAAAGCCATCCTTCTGAATTCTTCTAGAAGCAAAGAATGGTGCATGGTGGTGGATGGACCACCAACTGGCAAACAGGACCAACAGACCAAAAAAAGAAAGAAAAAGAAAAGTGTTTGTACTTTTTTGACTCAGTACAAGTTAAAAAGAGACAGACTCCCTCCAGCTTAGTCAAAAAAATTTATTAGAAAATATTCTGAACTACATAAAACTCTTTAGAATATTGTTTCAGTAGACTTTATTCCAGCCTTACGCTACAGACACTACAGCCTGGAGTTAGATTAGCCACTGTTCTCCTGATTATTATATTTTTTTTTGTATTTTTAAAATTATGACATATTAAGCCACATGCACACTGAAAGACTGGAAAGAGTGCTCAGTGCACCAACATTTCACCCCCAAATACAATTGATAGATCTCCTCAATTAATGACATTTTCTCACAGAGAATTAGATCAGGTGGGTTTACTTCTGCATTACTGAAACTGTTGGGAAATGACGACACCACGAGATCACCCAGTTTTAAATGAATTGCCACAGGAATACAGAACGCAACATCTCTTGTCTAAAAAGGAAGCCTTGATTTTTTTTCCAGAAAGACAGGCTGTGCATACTTTTCAAAAGTGTGCTCAGCAAGGAAGACTGCCATTCTACTAGAGGTTCACCAATAAGCAACCAACCTCAAGTCTCACAACATTTTAATCAGGGTTAAGCTCGCAATTTCTAATCCCACAATGTTTTCACCCTAAAACCAAACAGCACAGACCCGTACGTCCAGTGCCTACCAACAGGACCTGAGTGAACCTGGTGTGATCAGGATGCCGAGGTAATGTACTTCAAAAACTCACTGTTTTAAGGGTGCTATACCAGTGGTTCTTAACCTGCAGGTCTCCAGGTGTTTTGGTCTACAACTTCCAGAAACCTCAGCCAGTTTACCAGCTGTTAGGATTTCTGGGAGTTGAAGGCCAAAACATCTGGGGACCTACAGGTTGAGAACCACTGCACCGTACATTGAGTCTGAAGTAGTCATGAAAACCAAGCTTTCATTAGCACTGGGAAGACAATGAAGATTAACTATAAAATTCACTTCTAGACTTAAGGAGCATTGCAACACATTTTCTAAAAACACAGAAGGAAGATGTAAATCCTTCATGCCATAGGATTACTCAGGGAAGCACTATGATGAAGACTCATCTATGGTTCAGTGCAGAAAGCATCCTCTCCTATCTGAGTACCCTACTTTTCATTTTCAGCACAAATTGTTACAACTTGGTGCAGACGTACATTATCCATGATGTGTATTTGGGATACAGACATGGCCATTATTTGCAGTGAAAAACATGTGTGAGATCGGACAGAGGTGGAAAAAAGGAGATGGGTTAGCACTCATTTTGACCGAGGGCCACATCAGTCTTATGGTTGTTTTCAAAAGACTATAAATGTAACTATGTTGCCCTGGCATTGAAAGCCTTTCGGGCCACATAAAATGACACAGTGGACTGGATTCGGGCTGCAGGCCTTGCATTGGACACATCCTGAATTCTGTAAAGATCGTCAAAAGGTACATCTGCACCAAAACGCCCCCCCCCCCAAAAAAACCTTATATAGCAAAGAGCTCTCTCCTCCACTACAAACTGGACTTCAATAGTGGAGAGAATGTACTCAATATAAATACATATGGTGCAATTCAACAAAATTGGCAAATGTAATTTTCTAGTTTCTTTTTAAGAAGTGCCAAAATGGGTTGAGAGATCATTCGAATATCCACTAGTCTAACACAAACTCTCCCAAAGAGAAGTCTAAAACATCTGATTGTAAAAGAAAAAGAAAAAAAAGAATAGAAAATCAGCATCCACACTAAGACTCTGGAAGATAAATATTATCTTTAGTTACACACAAAAACACAGCCAATCAATTTACTGCCTGCAAAACAATTAAGTGAATTAACAATTTTTGTCATTTGCGTATTCCGTATTTGTTGATTTATCCTTGGCTTTGGGCCCTCGTGGATCCTGCCACCAGGAAGTGCCGCCAGGAACGCAGGGCCGAACTGTTTGTCTGATCTGCTTCACATCTTGCTAAACTGCGCACAAAAGCATGACACACACCCTAGTTGCCGCAATTAAACACTGAGGAGATTAATTGCACTATAATAGCACTTTGTTTCAAAGGAAAATAAACCAAGGCCCCTTTCTTTCTTTACTCTAAAAGGAGCTTCACGGTCTGGTAAAATCAGTACAAGTCCAACCGAGACATTGCAAGTAAAACTCCAGTATACTTAATGCCTTGCTATGAAGCAACCAACCCTAGTGCCACTGTTTATTCACTGTGTAATACTTCCAATTAACCCAATAATAAGATTTTGGATAAGACATGGCCTCATGCATTATTCTAATTTTCTGTCATAATGAAATGAGAGCTCAGCAATTTATTATGCTGCCTTCATTGTGTTACGGAAAATCCTGCTTTTACATGCCTAATACGGACAGCTGCTTACACCGGACCAAAACTTAGAATGCTACATTACAGGTAAATATTACAATAGCTATTGCTGACACTCTCTCCTTTATATTGAGGGGAGAAATTTGCTTAATTGTCACAAGATAAAAAACAAAGCATACTGTATTTAAACAACACCAGACAGAGGTCGGGGAGTTAATGCCCCAACAGAAAAAAACCAAGGACAGTTTTCAGACTCACAGGATTACTCCAAAGGTTGAGAGAGTAATACACTAATTTTGGTTGCCTGCACCATGCTTTTTTGAACTAAACTGAGTTTCAGAAGTCAAAACAAGAACTCAAAAGCCACAAAAAACAGCAGCAGCATAGCCTTTATTTGGTTTTTCCAATAGAAAAACTATGCTTACGATTCCAAGTAACAAATTTTATGTTTGCAGAATGATGTTGTTCTTTTGTTCGGGCACAGTGTGTGTTCAAAACACACGTTGAGCCTCTACACTGAAAGGAAAACACCTAATTTTGCTAGTACAGGAAAAGGAGAAGGGGAGGAGAGGAGAGCCAACAGGACCAAAGAAAAATCTGCCATGATTTTTTTCCCTGACTGATTTACATATACTGTACATTATCTCTGTCCAAATCACTGTATTCTGACAAACATTTGTGTCTATACACTACAGTTTGAATCAAAATGCTGTACATGTGGCATTCAACACAACTGCATATTACTGATAAGAGGGGCACTCTCCTTTATTCCTTTTAGTTTCTCTTTACATATCCTTTTGCAAAAGGATCAAGACGTTGCATTAATCTATATTTTATTTATAACAAAACATTATATACTATATTGAAAAATAATTTTATCAAAATCAGATTTCAACCACTATTTTTCGGTTAAAGTCCATGACAAAATTGCACTTTGCAGACATCTCGATGGCATTGTTCAGGCTACGCTCATTTCCTTTCCATAGAAACAGCCTCGTCTGGATTTTTCTTCCGTGAGTGTTTGTATTTGTCCACATAAGCTTTTACCAAATTTGCCACTTTTGCAGAATTCACTTCCCCACTCTTGCTATGACAAACCTAAATGAAATGGAAAGGGAAACCATATAAATATTAGTAGATCAAGAACAGCTAGCCCACTTGATTATGTTTCAAACATGCAAAAATCTGTGCCCAACTCAGATCTTTAGGAAAGACTACTGTTAGGAGTATAATGGGAAAAAAAGGTTTTACCACACTTTTCAAGGCTCCTAGGGAAAACAGCAAATGACATTTCTCATCAAATCTAAGGCACACATTTTTCCTATTTAAGGGGCTTCAAAAACAAGGTGCACCTTATATTTGCTGGATTTTTGGCTGTTTTTTAAAATTGCCTTACCTCCAAGGAAGGAGGAGGAGGAGGAAGAGGAAGAGGAAGAGGAGGAGGAGGAGGAGGAGGAGGTAGTTGTGTGCATTCAGGGTAAACCCTGATTTTGTTTTGTGTTCCGGCTTTCAGTGGACCCCTTAATCCATTTCTACTGAGTCCGAAATCGGGAAGGCAGATATTTCTTTTTGGTTTTCAGTTGCCGAAAAATTCATTTTCTTTCAGCCCATTATTGAGGGGTAGGTTTCCCACCCAGGCTTCCCTTCCCAGAGTGCTTCTTAACAGGGTTTGCCTCACCTTCATCTGGGGAGTCAATGGGCTCCCTGGCTGGGGCTGAAGACCCATTGTGTTTGCTGCTGGTGGTCTTGCTCCGCAACTCAAAGAGTAGGCCCAAAGCGCCCAGGAATGCCAGGGCCTGCAGCCGAGCGCCAAGCAAGCAGTGCTCCTTACTTGGTACTTGGCTGTACACCCTGGCAGGCCTGGGGGCTTTGGGCCTACGCGCACAGCAATTGATCCGAAAATTTATTATTTATATATTTATTAACTTTGTTTGTACCCCGCTAGCATCTCCCGAAGGACTCGATGTGGCTTACACAGGCCAAGGCCTCAATAAAACAACAGCATAACAAAACACATAACTTAAAGCAAATCAAACATTAAAACAATAGCAGTAAACAATAAAAACAATACACCATAACACAATAAAACTAGGGCCGGGCCAAATATAATGGGTACAGATTAAAAAGTGCTGGGTGTGACAGGTGGATGTAGGGTTTTAGGGTAAGTGCAATGTGCAGACCCCATCTTAAAAATCTGATAAAGTGCTTCTGAAAACTCTGAAAAGCAGGTTTGGAGCTAGTACCCACTTCCTGCCTTTCATATCGAGCTTATTTTCGTTTCAGGAGGGGCCTTCCTGTTCTGTGCCATCCAAATGGATGGAACAAAACAAAAACACGAATCAAACAAGTGATACAGATACCAGGTCCATGACTAGAAGGAAGGGCACCAGCAGCAACAGCTCTGCCAAGCTCCCAACATTTTGCCCTAGCCTCAGCCAGACAACTGTTTACCATCTGAACCATGGCCCACTTCCTGTTTCTGCTGCCTCCCCAACAGACTTAGAAAAAAAAGAAGACTCATGCAGGGAATATAACTTCTAGGTTTCCTCACACTCCCTCTTCACACCACAAGAAAGAGTGCACTAGAAAGCTGCACTGAAACAAAAACAATGGTATTGTGTATTGTTGAAGGCTTTCATGGCTGGAATCACTAGGTTCTTGTGGACTTTTTCGGGCTATATTATATATAGCCCGAAAAAACCCACAAGAACCTAATGGTATTGTGCATGCAAAGGAAATTCTAAAAACTATTCCAATTATTTTTTTCCCCTTAAGTTGAAGCTTCCAAATCAGTGAGCGCCCTACATTTGATGGCACCATAGATTCACTGAAATGCACTACTCTGTCATTCCCATTAACTAATGCTCATCAGGCAGCAAGATAAATCTTTAATGCAATGGAAGCAGGTGCCAAAGATAGAAAAAGCCACTTTTGGGGATGATTCCCAGAATTCCCCAGACAATACACGCAGGCCCAAAATTTCAGCATGATGGCGAATGAAAAACTATTACTGCCAGAACAGGGATAAGGATACAAGAGGAAATCTGCTTGAATCTGTGCATACAAATGCTCCTAACACTAGGTAAGAATTCTTTTAAGTAGTTGAAATAGCAACAGTTGAATTTTTCATACTTTTAAACAGAAAACTCTATTTAAAATATGCTACACAATTGCAAAGCTGTCCCTTGGAATTATATTCGTTTCTGTTTTCAACAGGCTGCGGGGTCAAGAGAATACAGATAGTTATTAACAGAATGTTACTTACTTTATCTACTGCTTTTCTTACAATTTCTTTATATTCTTCTTTAGTAATGTCTTTATTTTGATAGAAAGGCTTAATAGCCATTTTCACTTCCTGCGCAGCTTTTTCCTGAATTAGTAACTTCTAGACAAACAAAAGATGCACGTCATTAAGGGACAGGCAACATACTATCAGCATAAACAAGGCAATATGAAACTACTGAGGGGCGAGATTTCATGTTAATGCAACATTTTGTTGAGGATTATTAGATAAGAGACTTAACTTGCAGAGAGAAGTGCAAGCTGTTTAAAGCAGGCCTGAAGTTAAGTCACCTGGTTGCCTGTGTCAAACAGTCACCTCCAAGGAACCAGGAATGTTTACAGTACTTTTCGGTCCTTCTTTCGCCACCACAGGTATGGATGGGAAGATGGAACAGTAGCTCTCAGATTCACTTACAAGCTATGTCTACAATTATATCAATTGTTCATAACAGATTAGAAATTTTCTCATGCCAACACAATAATTTCTTCCCAATTCTGTGATCACTTAGAAGACTTAATGAGGATATGTAGGGAGGACAATGGACACCAACATTCCCTCTACGCTTAGGACACGTAATTATTTCTCCCATTTTAGCATGCAGAAGTATGCATGTCGCTCTTGGCTTTGAACTTGCCTGGTCTTTCTTCGAGCTATCTGCGCTGGCTTCCACTGTTACACTTACTTTGCTTTCGGCCAATTTTATAGCAGCATTAGAAGTTTTGGTGTTACTTGACGATGTGGCATTACCAGAACTTGGTCCCTGCACTGTTTCCACACTTCCCAGAGTTGCTGCTGGGGCAGGCAAGAGTGGCGTACTCATGTTGTTGGCAACGTGGGAAGTACTAGGAATAGCCTGTGTCAAAAAGGTACCAAAATTAGTATGTGGCCAGTTACATGCAAGACGGTTTTCAGTAACTGATCAAAATCCAAAAAACGCGTTGATGTATGTAAACTAAAAACTTCAGTTAAAGGGTGACAGAAGCTTTGTCATTGAATTCTTAGCAATGTATAAGGCTATCCTGTTGGTTGGCAGAGGGGACTTGGTGAGCAGTATTTCTATGAGAAGTTTTTCTCAAAAGGACTAAATACAGCGGTGAATCCATCCGATACATCAGGCCTTGACCTATTTTCCTCTTTCCTCACTTCAATAATCTTTGTTGTTGTTTGTTGTTGTTATTATTATCCTACTTATTCTCTCTAAAAAGAGAATAATAATAATGATAATAATAATAATAACAACACTAACAATAATAATAATAGCAGCTTTTTTTAACCTGCCCTCTCTCCCCACAGGGACTCAGGGCGGCTTCCAAAGTAAAATGGCAAGCATTCAATGCCAGTACAAAACATAATAAATGATTAACAAACAAACATAAATTAATCAAAAACATCATATAAAACATATAAAAATACAAAATTGAACAGATCAAAATACAAATCAAAATACTCAAAGTGGCTCAAAACCAACCAACTACAATACAATTAAAACCTAGGGAGGGGACCATTCACTTGTATAAATACAGCAGACTCAGCAGTATTAACACAGGTAACGTAGACATAAGTAGTCTGCCAAAGCTATAAAAGACATTTTATATGAAAGGTTCTATGGGACATTTTGGCTGTTTATAGTATTTTTTAATCATGGTATTCATCTGGACTATTTGTCTGGGATGGGAGTTGGAACCAATTTTATGGTGATACTACTCCTCCTTGAAAAAGGGAGATTTCACATACATCTGGTTACTTATGCTAATTAATTATGGAAATTATGGAATAAAAAGGATATAATGTGGAAATTCATTGGCACCAGTACACAATTAACATTCAACTCTCTCTTTCTCCTCAACATCAAAACCCAGCAAAGTTGTTTCTGTTTTATATAAGTATTTGAATGAAGAAATACAAACTTAGGCTTCATCCAGGAAAGATGTAATCCCAGTTATTCAAAAAGCAATGAAGGTGTACTGGAAGGATTTTTAACCATGCACTTTATAAGACTGAGTATTGATTGCAGTTTGCTTTGTATTCTGCAGCTATTGTTACATATTATTTATTTTAATGGGGGGGGGTGTGTGTGGTGATGTTTATCTTGGTTGTTGCTGCTTTGTGTTGTTGTCTTTGCACTTCTTGTATATTGCGTGTTTAATAATAATAATAATAATAATAATAATAATCTTTATTCTTCTATCCCACCACCATCTCCCTGAAGGGATCTGGGGCGGCTTACATGGGGACCAAGCCCATGTAAGGTGTTTGCACCTTTGAGTGCTTTGTGAGCCACTCTGAGCACCCCCAGGAAATGTTGGCAGGGCATAAATAAAGTTGTTGTTGTTGTTGTTATTATTATTATTATCTCCCCATAAAGAATAAGGTATGATGGTTGAGCATTCTCCTGGATGAATCCAGATATCCAAATCGTGTCAGTGGCCAAAGATGCATTAGAACAGCCAATGTCACATAGCACAGATATGTCCGAGATGGCCATGGTGACCCATATAAACTAATGTAATGCACTGGCTGACTTTGTGAAGCATTCAGAAATCTTAGCTGATGCAGAATGGAGCAGCTAGGCCGCTGATCAGGTTTAGTTACAAGGAGCAAGCGGCATCTTTGTTCCAAGAGTTTCACTGATTACCAGGCTCTTTACAGGAACAATTAAAATCAGTGGATGATCACCTGTAGCAGGTATGGGCAAACCCAGGCCCAGGGGCTGGATGTGGCCCCTTGGGCTCTTTTCTCAGGCCCTCCTCTCTCTCACCATCCTATCGTTCCTTCCTTCTATCTTTCCTCCTTCCTTCACTCCCAACCTTACAAGGTGTCCCTTTGAGGAGGAAAACTGACTTTCTGCTGCTCTAGAGACCAGAGCACAAGGAAGCAGGGACTAAGCTACTTAAAAGGATCCATTCTCAAATACAAGGCATTTTACAATCTAAGAGGGAAAGCCTCTTCTCCATTCTATCACCATCCAAGTTTGGTGTGGCCACAAGACAATCTTTTTGCAGTCAATCCTAGGTGCTGGAACTGTCTGCCACAATGTTTTTAATTGAGAAAACCTTTGACATTTAAGTGAGCTTATTGCTGAAAGGGTAATAACTGGCTGAGTGTCATTTTATTTCACTACAAGTAAACATAGTAAATGATTATTACAGCTAGGTATTACATTTCTATCCTACCTCTTCTTTTAGAAAGGACTAAAAACCCCAAGCATATATCATTAAAAACAAACTATCTTTAAGCCAACATTCTAGCTGGATTTTATTAATGTTAGCCACTTGGTGTGCGAGTTTTGTTGGAAAGGCGTGATCAATAACTTTTCCTTCCAGCTTGTAACAGAAGGAAGTTCCTCCAACCTAGTTTTTAAAAAATGTTCAGGCAGCTCTTGTAAAAGACATCAGTGCTGCTCTCCTTTGACGTGAAGCAAAGACAAGAGATAAGGGAAGCCACCTGGGCCACGTTTCTTCAGTAGCAGTGACTGAAACCCCTGCCCTGGTTCAAAGCAGACATCATTACTGAGGAGATAGATGGAAGGAAAAGAAGGGGCTTGTAACTGGTCCAACACATACTTCACAAGCAGCTAACACAGTGGCAGCAAATTGGCAGTATGAATAATAGGCTACCGAAGGGCGACGACAGAATCATCCAGCCTGAAACCTCTCTTTTTCTCTGGGAGGTCTCTGGAATGAAAACACCTGGGCCATTGGGAGTGGGCTTCTGACTGGCCTGGACAAATGTCTCCCTCCAGGACCTGCACTGAAAAGCAATGCACCAGACTGCTCTGTAGTTGCTGTCTCCTTGGACCCAAATGCCTCTTTCCACAGAGTCAATATAGAATCATTACATTAGAGCAGGGGTCCTCAAACTTTTTAGACAGTGGGCCAGGTCACAGTCCCTCAAACTCTTGGAGGGCCGGATTATAATTTGAAAAAAACATGAATGAATTCCTATGCACACTGCACATATCTTATTTGTAGTGCAAAAACCGCTTAAAACCAATACAATAATTAAAATGAAGAACAATTTTAACAAATATAAATTTATTAGTATTTCAATGGGAAGTGTGGGCCTGCTATTGGCTGATGAGATAGGATTGTTGTTGTTGTGTGCTTTCAAGTCATTACAGACTTACGTTTTCCCTGAGCGAGGGCCGGGTAAATGACCTTAGAGGGCCACATCCGGCCCCCGGGCCATAGTTTGAGGACCCCTGCATTAGAGTGTCCCTCAGAGGCATGCAGGGCAAAGAAAATGGGAACAGCAACAGATTAAACCACATGATTTTTTAAATCTTGTTGCCACTCAGTGAGAACTCTAAGATCTGTGGGCATTCATACAACAATGCTAGATTCAGTCCTTTTTTCTTTTTTATATTTAAACTCTTCATGGTTTATAGTTTCACTGTTGCTATTGTGCTTGTTTCAATCCAATGACATTTCTGGAACTGAACTCTAAATATAAATGCTGTAGTTATGCATAACAACCCATACCAAGCAGATAGATTTAATTATACAACCTCATCAGTTCCTCTTCACTTCTGCCACAGAGCCCGCGATTTACCATCACACTACATACATTTACTTCCAGAAGGGCTCCATCGCAAAAGTGAAAAAGAAGCTGTGTACAATGCCACAACACGGGAGGCCTCCCACGTTGCATTATCAAGAATGATGGGAAGCCCGGTGGTGGAAGCTTCACCCCATGGCATGCGGTAAGTAAGCCAGGAGATGTGGGGTGTGGGGCAATGGGTTCCCCATGCCCCCCCAGGCCCTGCCAGATTTGCCACGATGCGTGGTGAATCCCATAGTTAATGTGATAAGGTCCATTATGTGGTCCCTGTGAAAAACATGTCAAATTGGATTGCTGTGAGCTTTCTGGGCTGTTGGCCATGTTCCAGAAGCATTCTCTCCTGACATTTCACTCACATCTATGGCATCCTCAGAGATTGAGGTTTGTTGGAGACTAGACAAGTAGGTTTTATATATCTGTGGAATGCCCAGGGTGGGAAAAAGAACTCTTGTCTGTTTGAGGCAAGTGTGAATGTTGCAATTGATCACCTTGATTAGCATTAAATAGTATTGCAGGTTCAAAGCTTGGCTGCTTCCTGCCTGGGGGAATCCTTTGTCAGACTACACTGAGAAGCCACTGAAATCCACTAACACATGGACAATTTCAGCAGAAAGGAGGAAACGATGAAAGAGAACAAAATCTGGCTACCAGTATTAGAAAACTCTAAAATCAGAACAGTAAAGAAAAATCAACACTCAAAAACGGGATTTCCAGACAAGAAACAACCAGGGCCAGCTAATCACTTCCCAACAAAGGATTTCCCCAGGCAGAATTCCAGCCATGAAAGCCTTCAACAACATATGTCAAATTGATCATCACCTTTTTAAAGTATGTATGGAAATTCAACTGTTTTTTTTGTAAGGAAAGCAGAATTAAGCCACCAGGAATGGTAGAACTATGTCCATGAATTTAACAATGAAGGTTATCACTTCCATATAAAGTTTCTCATCTGAGATAGACAGTCACAGGTGTAATACTAGGATTAGACAATATAGTTCACGTGGACCTCCACATTGGAGATTTAACACAATCTCCAGTCCAAAGCATAATCTTGAAATTAAAGCAGGATTACCTAATGCCTACTTTTTCAAACAAGGCTTCAACGCTACATTTCTTCCAGCAAGATATACCTGTAACTGCTTTACATCTGGCTGGGAAGTAACATAGTTAATCTGCTGGGACGGTGGTGGTGGTGGAGGAGGTGGCGGCGGTCCCTGAGAGACACTGGCTGAAGCTGCTACTTGGACGAGAGGCACTCCTGAATGAAGATGCATGGGGACCGGTGGAGGAAGACTAAACGGATTGTGCTGAATGTTCATAATAGGAGCAGGAACAGCCATTGGATACGGGAAGAGATTCATTGGTTGATGTTGCGTATTCACTGGTGTCATTACATTCATCTGAGGTTGCAGCACATTTATTGGAAGTTGAGAATTATCATTTTGTTGGTTGCCCTGGTCTTTGAAATTTGGATCTATCAAGATAAAAAAAATCTTAAAACATGTGATTTTATAAAGCATTGTCCACCAAATGATGCTAATTTGCCCAACCATGGAATATATTATCATTTTTTAAAAATGTAAATCTTAAAATAGTATATAAGTCACCACCTAATTATAAAAAAAGATAAAGCCCTACAACACCTTAGGGTAGCCATAACAGGTTTTGTCAGCTGGACTAATTAAAAAGTTGTGTGACATCACAAAGTTGACAGAATGCTTTGCTTAAATATACAAAATTTCAATATTTATAGCAGAACACATCTTATAGCCTATAAATCAGTTGTAAGAGCAGCGGCGAAAAGGGAAGCACACAAAAGAATTATGTATTGTTTCAATCATAGGTTTGTCTCCAACTGATAGCTGATTTCTCATATTCTTGGTTGTGTCTTAAATTAGTGAAAGATAGATGGGTCTAAGGTTGTCCTAACGTGCAAGAAAAGCTTCCTTAAATGGAAGGGCTAGAGATCCATGGGAATTTCTTGCTAATGGAATGAAGACAATTTGCTAATCTCCTTGTCACACAGTTTGTAGGAGGGCTAAGGTGATTGGTCAAATTTTGTGACCAAGTATTAGTTGTGTCCTTTCTGAGAAGAATACTGCTCCTGAGATTATAGGCCCCAATCCATGAGTTAAACTTCTAAACAGTTATTAGCAGGGCTCACTATCTTCACAAAAATACCAGTTGTTTTCTTTTACATTACTGTGTCCCCTCCCATCCAAATATGTATATTTATTTATTATTTATTTCAGATATTTATATCCTGTCCTTCTGCCCTCACCCCCCGGAGGGAGACTCAGGATGGTTTACAACCGGCAACCATTAGATGCCAATAACAACAATAAAAACACACTTGAACTTTAGTTAAAACATCATGAAAAGTTAAAAGACCATTTAAAAGAATCAAATCCAGATCTAAGTCCACAATTATAATCCAAATTCCATCCATTTTCAATAACTTGATTCATTTATTTGAGTCAGTTACATTAAATTTTAACCTAGGAGTATGCAGAAACCACAAGACCTGGTTCATACCCACACTAGTGGTCCTGAAAGCAGACTAATTCAGTTCCAACCACTTCAGGGGCTTCTTGATTTCATTTGGACCCAGAGCAGAACCCTACACTGAGAAATCTGAAGCTTTGTGCCTCTTCATTGAGTATCACTGGGGAAATAGCTTGACAGGATTGAAATCTATTTCCATGCACAGCTAGCCCTTCTTAAAAGGATAAAACTTAAATTTATTTCATGAGATGCAGAGGTTGTAAGAAAACCCTTCAAACTTAGGGCATTTAATATTAGGATTTGTTAAGTTTTGTTAGGAATAATTTGTTTGAAAAGGACATAAGATGACCCTTGCTAAGACAACACAGACAACATATGTTAGAATCAGCCGAGTTGGGGAATGAGACAAACTCATTATACGCTGTGGTGTAAATAACAACATAATCTGCTGTATTTGGTCAATGCGAAGCAATGAATGTGAAGCAATGCAGGAGAAAAGAATATATTAGTTACTGTGAATGTCTTAAAAGGTTTTGCATAAAATGTCAATTATAAAACAAATGTAGAAAAAACGGAATTTTCAGCTTACTTTAACCCAAATGTGTGTTTTGTGTGTGTCCGGGGGGGGGGGGGGGGTACATACCTTGTTCAGAAGTTACTTCTTCTTGTTTTGTCCATGACGACTGTGGGCTTGAAGGATTCCTTCCTCTTTTGGAATAATAATTCTGTACATCAGCTGGTAAAGTCTTTCTCACAGCCCAGCTTGATGCAGATGTCCACCCAGACCTATCGACAGGTGTATCAAAGGAGTAATCTTGTTCTGGTTTGCGCTTGTATGACTGGTGCTCTGAGAATCTTGAACTTTCATTTCCAGAATTATCGGCATTCCCTGAGTGGGGCTTCCTTGTTTGCCAGCGATTCTCAGTCTGTTCTCCATACGTAAAGCCACCCCTACCACGACCACCCCTACCACGGGCACCTCTGCCACGGTTTGAATTCCAACCTGATCCAAAATTTCTATTCCATGGAGGTCCTGAATTATTATGTCTGTTTTCTTCCCATGGTTCATTTTTAAATGTTTCTCTGTTCCTTGTTTCTGGAACTGAATTTATCTTTTCCATAATCCAATCCGGATAATCTTTTCTATACTGTTCAGAAGAACTCTGCTTGTCAGCATCTTTGTTAATGTTGTCCCTCTCTCTTTTCATACTCTCAGCGTGCTTCTCTTGTTCATTTCTTTTATATCTATCATTTCCTCTGGGACCTCTCCAGTTATCATTTCCCCACCGTTCCTTCCATCTGGGAGGTGAATAGCTGTCCCTCTCATTTCTAGGGAATGATGGAGCTTTGCTTCTTGTCCGGGATCGGGATCGAGACCGGGATCGGGAACGTGACTGTGACCATCTCCTTCTACTCCTCTCTCTTTCATGATCTTTTTTTAGCCCATCTTTATCACTCTCTCTATCCCTACTTTGAGATCTACATTTGTGCCTTGGAGAAGAGTCCTTTGCTTGCATCCAAGAGGACCTCCTTCCTTCTCTGCGTGGATCTCTTTTTGGAGAACCAGATGGAGACCGTCTCTCTTCTCTTACAGCATCTCTTTTTGGAGAGCTTGGTGGTGACCTCTTTTCTTCTACTAGATCTCTTTTTGGAGAAGTGGATGGAGATCCTCTACCTGCCAAATCTCTTTTTGGAGAACCAGGCAGCAAACCCACCTCTTCTAGAACACTATCTCCTACTGGAGATTGCAATAGAGACTGCTGCCCTTCTTTGCAACTGCCTCTTTTGGGAGATCGAGACATTCTGCTTTCAGATATTATTTCTCTAGTGGGAGAGGGAGACTGAGATCTTTTCCCCTCCCTTTTGGAGGGAGACCAAGTTGTTGATGGAGAATGAAATCTTGACCTTCTAATTCGAGGCTTTTTTTCTTTTTTAATTTCTGTGGAGATTTCTGTTTCTTCTTTCTTGCCTGAAAGTACTGAAAATGATGCCAAGTGTTCGGTGTCATGAATCAAGGAGCTTGCCTCTTGCTGTAGACTCTCACACATCAATGGCTGGTCTATCTGAGAGTCATTCTGGTCACTGCTAAATGAGTCACATTCCATAGCTACTATCTCAGTGTTGTCTTCACTAAAATGTTTCATTTCTTCAGTACACACACTGGGTGATGAATCAGGTCTAGATTCTTCATTAATATTTTCTACAGATTGCTCATGTTGTTCCTCTACAGAAATATTTAATAATATATCAGTTCCCTGTAGATTTTCATGGTCTAAATCTCGATTTACTGATGCTTCTTCTTCTTCTTCTCCAGCTTTAGCATCTTCATTTTCTACTGACATTGGAGGTTCTTTTAATTTACTTGTAGAGCTATCTAATGGTTCCTCAACTGCCATCTCAAATTCATTTCCTTCTGACAATGTATTTTCAGAATGGGAAGACAGTGGCCTCTCTGGGCTTTCACTCCCAGGTCTCTCCAACATTTCTGTTGCTAAAGGTTCCGTTTCCCTCAACAATTCATTTCTAAAACAAGTAAGTGATTCATCAGATACCTCTATGGAACCCTGTTCCTCTGGGGATTTGTTTCCAGTGTCAGACAATGATTTGTCTGTTATTGCCATAGATTCTGCTACCCCTAGAACATCATTTCCAGGAGCAGTGGATATATCACCTTCTACTGGAACACAAACTGATTTTTCTAACGAATCATCCCCTGGACTATCCGAAGTGGGTGAACAGGAACCTGTCAGCACTGCAGGTTCCAGTTCATGCATAGGCAATTCATTTTTAGGACTCTCTAATTCGCTGGACTGATGAGTAAGTGTTACAGTGTCACCACATAATTCGTCACTAGAAACATTTGGTAAAGGCTGGTCTACATGATCAACAGTACTCGCACAGCATGAAATATCTTCGTATACAGTGTCATCTTTTGTTTTACAGTTTTCACTGTCTCCCTCTAAGGTAAGTATAGGAGGATCTTGTGAATAGGAAGAAATTTCCCCCTCTAAAGTGAGTAAAGGAGGATCTTGAGAACATGAATCAGTGTCTATGATATCTAAGGCATCCCGTCCTTCATCAGGGTCTTTTGGGGGCTCTTCTTTATATTCTACACAGTCTTTGGAGTTTTCTAAGCCATTAGCAGACTGGGTTTCTGCATCACTTTTCTGACTTAAGTCAGAGGTGCTATTTGCACTCTCCAGTAAACTATCTTTATCTAGTAGCAGAGTTCTCTTTGTCTCATCAGATTCTTCAACTTCTACTTCATCACTAGATGTTTTCCCATAGCGTCTAGAGCTTCTGAGTTTCTTTTTCACTACAGGTTCCTGCTGTTTAACTCCCCTTTTAGCCTTCCGTTTTGGAGGTAATTTCTCAGACTCTTCACCAGAAGCATTCACAAAGGAGTCACCATCACCACTGGCTTCGCATCCAGAATTGCTTGATTTTGGTGGACTCTGAGGCGGATTCAAAGTTTCCGTTTTAACATTTCGAGCAGATCTTCGTCTAGGAGTAGTATCTGCAACTTTCCTCCTTGAGCCTCTTGTGCCAGCTGTGCCAGAAGTTTGTTTTTTCTCCTCTCCTTCCTGGACATATGTAACAACATGGCCTCTTTCTGATGATCCTAACATTAAAAAAGAAGAAGAAATGTATTGCATTGTGGTGAACACAAATACTGTTTTAGAAACTGTTCATATATTCACTGAGTGTAGATGCTTTCATACCAAAACTAGATCCCAAATATACTGTATGTATTAGCTAACATATGGTTTACATTTCTTTTGTAATTAAATCAATGCAGACCAAAAATTCGATGTTTCTCACTAACTGCTACACCTCGAGCCCCCTTCACATGTGGATTGAATTATTACCTTGGAGGACGGGCCCACCACCTCTCTGAATCATTGCATATCAGAGGACTGCCTACAGTGATTGTGCAGATGTCTATGTGTGAACACATGTTCCCAAATGAACACTGTAGAGAATTCACGGCAATGTGCAGACATCTAGGATGAGGGCTGCGGCACAGCCAGTGTTGGTGAATGGCAAAGAAAACAATTCCACTCACAGTAACTACATAATATGCCTATCACATAGTTCACAACTACTTCTTTACAGGTTTCCCTGGCCTGCAGGCAATGACTTGTGCAGTTGGACGGCCTCCATACTAAGCTTACACAGGATAGGCATGTTCACAATATTAGTTTAGGGCCACTTGAGTCCTAGTCTATCTGCATGGAGATACTACTCTCAAAATGTAATATTTTTAATATCCTGTACCAAGATGAAAAAATAGCAGAAGTTTACTAATCTGTATCCTCATCCAAATGTGGAGGTCAGTGAATTAGTGGACCAATTTCTATCCCCAGGAACCTCCAGTAGACACGTAAGACTGTCAAAAATGAACAAAATAATAATAATAAAAAAAAACGGGGGGTGAACTACAACTTAATTAAAAGGTGAACCACTGCTATTGGAGTCTTCCAAGAGAGACACATCACCCATTTTTGCAAGAAAACAGGCAATCCAGTGGTTGAACAAAACAGTGCTGGTACACATTTTAGCTACCATTTTCCAACTCCCAATCTTGCACCTTTCATCTTAGATTCCATCAATTTCATGCTGAAATACATTTCACACTCTTTAGAGACACTTCAGATTGAAGTGTTTAGCAATGAGGCCCAAGCTAATTATTATAATATATCTGTCAACAGGAAATAAGCTAGTCTGATAAATTTCTCTATTAGCCACGAGCCAGCACACACTTTGGTGCCTCAAATCTTAGTCCTGTTTCTAGGTATGTCTGATCTGTTGATTCCAAAAATGGTACCAGCTTTCCCCTACCAGCTCTAGTTTTTGAGATACAGAACATATGCCATCTGCTCGCCCATAGAACATCATGATAACTATATCTAAGAAACCAGAGTTGATGCGGCCTATCCAATACAATTTTTGGAATCACTGTCCCCTAAAACCCCAGGAACAGGCCTAAAAACTCAGACACTGAGAATTTTGTTTGTTGGACTGTGTGATTTTTCACTTTTATTGGAAAAAGAATGAGTATTTGGTCATGAAACATTGCTTTATATAATCTATAAACAAAACTTACAAAAAAAATTTACCAAAGTTTTCCAGAGGCGTGGTACTTATTGAAAAGCCAGTTCCCACAATGACAGTGGAAACCAGAAGACAGGCTACCATTTCTCCATCACAGCATAAGGAAGGAATTCTGTGAAATTCAACCCACATAAAAAAAGAATTATATGAAGAGCTCTATAAAGAAAAACTATGCCGTATGTGCCCTACATAAAAACATTATATTCATTTAGTAAGAGCTTTGAGTTTGCATCAGAAACTGGTTTAAAGCATGTAATGTTTTGTTCTCTTGGGCAAATTAGTCTTGCTTCAGAGGACTTCGGCATCTCTCAAAAAGCTCTGCAGCAGATTAGAGGATGTATTTTTCTTAATGCAAAAGACAAAAATCACTTGCTTTTGCCTCACCATCCTTTTTTCCTATAATAATGACTCCCCTCAATATTTTGCAAAGTAATCACTATAGGTAAAGTAAAGGTTTCTCCTGAAATTAAGTCTAGTCGAGTTCGACTCTGGGCATGGTGCTCATCTCCATTTCTAGGCCAAAGAGCCGGCGCAGTCTGTAGACACCCCCATACAGTCATGTGCCTTCCCACAGAACTGGTACCTATTGATCTTCTCACATTTACATGGTTTTGAAATGCTAGGTTGGCAGAAGCTGAACCTAACAGCGGGAGCTCACCCCACTCCCCGATCTTTTGGTCAGCAAGTTCAGCAGCTCAGCAGTTTAACCCACTGCACCACTAGACCCTTTCAACAATATTAGATATTACGATAACCACAAGTCAAATGCACATATGCCTTTCATTATGTCTGACAAGGGAGCAGTCTAAGAAGCATTTGTTTTATCTACTATTGCAGGCATGGGAAACTAAGGCCCGGGAACCGGATGCGGCCCCCTGGACACTTATCTCAGACCCTCATTTTCCCTGTCCTCTCGGCAAAAGGATGCGGCGGCCCACCACATCCTTGTGCAGAAAGGACAGGGAAGGAAGGCACGCAGCAACTGAGAGCTTTCAGTAGTACTCTCAACCATCGTGTGTCTTGCCCTGCTCCCGGTATGTTGCCGAGAGGAGGGTCCAAAGATCAGGGAAGGAGGATCGGGGAGAAGGATCAAGGCAGTCACCACACGTCTCGTTTCCCTCCCAGCATAAGGATGGGGCAAGTAGCCCCATCTTTATGCCAAGAGGACAACCTGTGGATGGCCCGGGCCCTGCCCCGCCCCCTCCCAGGCCCGTCCCACCCTCTCTCCCAACCCGGCTCTCACAACCAGGCCCACAATGTGGCCCCAGGGAAAAAAAGTTTGCCCATGCCTGTCCTATTGCCAGGTGATCTGGGCTTGGAATTCTGGTTACCAATAACTACAATTAGTTTCAAAACATCCAAGTCCAGAAACCAGAATTCAAACTTGAGTTGTTTGAACTTCAGTTAGTCTAACCAAAGTTTGCTGCCCTAAATTCAAAATCTCACACATTTAACTAAAATCAAAACCTTCCAAACATCTCTTCCTAGCCGAGCAGGAAGATGAAATGAGAAGGGGGAAACATACTAGCCCAACATTTGATACAATTCTTTCCTTCTCACTGATGTTTAGTTTACTACAAAGGTGGGATTTATGCAACCTTCCACATGTTGGACACCATTTATTCTTCACCATTGGTTATATTGGTTAACAGTGATGGAAACTATTGTCCAGCAGCATTTTAGAAAGGATGTTTGAACCCTCAAGTTCGCTAAGAAATGCAAACATGACCAAAAATATATGCTAATGTACAGCAAAATACATCCTACTGTTTTCTTTTTTTATAAGCACATGTGAATTGAAGTTATTCAGGAATCATAAAGAATTGTAGGAAAGATTAATATGACATTCTTACACTTCTTGTTTTTACATATTGTGATTAGATTACACGTTTCTTCATTTCAGAAGGTTCTATAAGGTTGTTGTTCAGTTGTTTTACCTTGCCAGTCTAGCTAGCACGGAACATGACAGGTCCAGTTCTCTTCTCTTGTGCCCAATAACTGTATCAATTTTGCTGATCTCTATACTGAAATGTAAGTTTAATAGATATATTATAATGTACATTAGGAAAATATTTTAAGACTTTAACTTGATGCACATATTTTAAAAAACTCACTAGGACACACTTACAAGACAAAACACCATTAAGAGCATTTTAAATTACATTCTCAGTAATAGCCAACAAAACACGAAGATGAGCCAGTATTACCCTCAAGCAATCAATGCACAAAAGTGTTTGTACCGACTCTATTCTAATGTTGAATTATAATTCAGTGTTACAAGAATGACGTACAGCAAGCCTTATGGTTCCACTTCTTCACCACAACTAGGATCTGTTTAAAATGTTTAAGGTTGTAAACTTCTGGCTGAAAAAAATATTGAATTCTATCAAAAACTATTTATATGTCCCATTATTCCACAAATCTTTTACTAAGGATTCATTTAGAACAGTGATTCTCAATCTGTGGGTCCCTAGATGTTTTGGCCTTGAACTCCCAGAAATCCTAACAGCTGGTAAACTGGCTGTGATTTCTGGGGGTTGTAGGCTAAAACATCTGGGGACCCACAGGTTGAGAACCATTGATTTAGAAAAAAAGATCATTGCATGATCTAATGGTCATGGGGGAGCAACACTGCCATGGCTGACACATAAGAGTTTGGTCTGCTTTCAGCTAAGAAGCAGAATCATAAGAGTTTGGGGAGACTTCAAGGGCCATCCAGTCCAACCCCCACTATGCAAGAACACACAATCAAAGCACCCTCAACAGATGATCATTCAGTCTCTGCTTACAAACCTCCAGAGAAGGAGACCCCATCACACTTTTTTTCACAACTTAAAGCAGCCCCTAATCATAATTTTGGAAGATAGGAAAGATGACTTCCAAAGCATAACAACGTGTCTGTATGTTAAGTTGGAAGATTACATGGTCTAATAGGGTGTGCGAGGAACGCCAAATTTGAGGAGTTTAGCCTCAATATTTCAGTATGTCCAATGTATTTTCTCTTGCAATGTATCAACTTGTTCACATGCAAACAAATAGGCAAGGTCCAGTTACATAGGAGCTTCCAACCCATTACCCTGAGGCTCATTCTTGTAACACAAACATGTATCTTACACAATGATTTGCTTGCTACTGAATGTATTTATGCCACAGGTGAAATTTGAACAAAACAATCCCCGTATCTCAGACCAAGCATGAATAAGCTGCTATATTATAGCACAAAAAATAAGCTGAAAGTATGTATTGTAAAGTAACAGATTGGGTCTGTTACAAAGCTATCTAAATACTGCATTGCCTTCTAAAGTCATAGAAATATACAAGAGTACGATGGAACTCATGCAGCTTTCCAGATATTGTTGGACTAAACTTCCAGCAGCCCTAGCATAATTTCACACTTGCTCTAGAGTATTTCTGAAGAATATATTTGGAGATTAGGGTCCGATTGCAAAACTCCCCTTTTGTTGGCATACTACATGACACATGATTTCCTGAAAGAATAGACAGCAAATCTAGAGTACCATTTTCCCAGAAAGCCACTACAGAATTTATAACAGTACGATCTACAACTGTGTGAGACAATAAATTAATACTAACCGTTCATGTTCATAGTTAGGAGATTCTCCAGGGAAACTACTATTAGAAGAAAATCTATCATGGAAGCTACCTCTGATTAATCTGTTTAAGCAAGTCTGTCTTCTGGGCTATAAAAAGAGAAAGAATAAATTTACAGCACTGCAACCACCTTTACATCTAACATCCACAAAGCAAAAGAGAAATCACATTATATGTAAAGAAATCTTTAAATCCACGTCACAGAAGCCACATAAGAATCTGTACTGAGACTTTTACTTTCATGCAACACTTCTCTTGGGCTTGTTTTCACCATTAGACCTGCAAACTAAGAAAGCTGGCAGGAAAAGGCCACTGTTCAATGATACAGTGCATGTTTTCTACACAAAATGTTTTTTACACTTTGTTTTCCAGTTAAAATGATGGGGAAAATTCCTAAAAATAGATGGAGTATGCACAATAGTGGGATAGCTGTAAACTGTTCCTATATTCTTACAGACTTTCTAACAACTGGTGTTTAACCCAGTTTTAGACACATAACAAGAAAACAAACAACCTAAAAGTAAATCTGACTGGTCTCTCTGAACAGACATGCACAGCATTAATATTTATTCATTCATTTATCTGCGCCATTTCTACTCCGCCTTTCTCCACCCTGGAGGGGACTCCAGGCAGCTTTACAACATAGGCAGCAATTAGATGCCATTAAAACAATATAAAATTAAAATAAACTTTTAGAAAATATATCAGAGCATTTAAAAAACTAACAAATATTATCACTATTAAACCACACTATTCATACTCGTAACCTGGGACGATCCAATAGTCCATGCACAAAATTGTGTACTTGTCTATTGCATAGGCTTGATCAAAGAGCCATGTTTTACTATATCATTTGTAAAAGCTAGCACCACAAAAATAATTGTGTAAAAGAATAATGGTGGAAATGTACATCTATAATTACCAGAAACCAACTCAATGCTGACCATTGATTAAAGGCCTCCTGATTGATTTTTTGTAGTAAAATAAGGAAGAGCATCCCTCCAGCTCACTGCACTACTTAAAGGACACACCAATCCCTTCATTATTAATGGTCCTACTTTTAGTGCAACTACGTTTATAATTATAAGGGTTTTACAGAAACGTTGACATCATCATTTTTTCCAATGCTCTAAACTGATGGCTCATGCATAACAGAAGCAACTGAACTGAAGTATCTTATTAGGAGAAAAAGTGTAATACACTGTACCCTATATATTCATGTATAAGTCCAAGAGTGTTAGTAAAAAAATGGTCAAAAATATCCCTGGGTGGGCTTATCTATTCATATATATATATATATATATATATATATAGAGAGAGAGAGAGAGAGAGAGAGAGAGAGAGAGAAACAATCCATTTCAAAAGGCATGAGCATAAAGAAGCACTGAACTGCTCTACTATCTCTGCTGTGCTGCTGCTTCTGGCCTTTTTGAATGCTTGGATGAGGAAATGGCAAGAGTTGCTCTGAGGTGGCATTGGTATTTTCCTCTCTTTGCAGAATGACCCCCCATGTATCCATGGGTCACATCAAAATCCATAATGTTGGTTCCAAACCTGCTCTTGACTTATAAAGTCAACAGATACGTAAGTATATACATTAGTGTTCCTTAAACACCATACTTTAAACTAGTTGAAAGTTTGACTTGAAAATTGCTGTACTGGATAGCTTTTCAATTCTTTAAGCCATAGCAACCCATCAACACACACTATGCTTACAGCATTTATATATCAATCCTACAGATGTTTTTTCAGACATGCTGGCATCAATAAAGCTTACAAGCATGATTAGGATTAGCACCTAAGTGTATTTTTTTAAAAGAAACAAACAGCACTATACAATACTGACTTTAACACACTTGAAGAACTGTGAGCAAAATGTAAACTATCCCTAGCTGAAAATAATTTCAGGATTGATTTTACATTTGATTAGTACTGTATCAATTAGAACTGATCAATCTAACTATAAAAGGTCTTCTTTAGGATACTCCAGAACTGAGAATCAATTATAGAAGTTTGGCAACAAAATCTCAAGCAAAGCTTTATATTTCTATAGACAAGTTTAAATAGAGTATTGCAAGTATTGTATATGAAGGGAAATATGTTTAAACAATCATAAACACACATTAAGGCTGCAAAATTCTAAAAGGGGTTTACTGGGAATTACTATTTCTAAATGTGAAATATTCAAACAAACCTTATTTTTCTTCACAGAATGCTTAGCTTCTCCCTCATTAGAAGAATCTTTATTAAAAACAACAAAAAACAACTTTAATGCAATGTTTCTGAGCATTAAGGCAATTAGTTACCAGTTTTAAATACATTAGAAACAAACTACAGTGGTCCCTCACTTATCACGGGTGTTACGTTCCTGAACCACCCGCAATAAGTGAAATTCCCTGATGTAGGGACGCCCCCTCACCTTCCCCCTCCTTGCCTTCTTCATCCTCCTCCTCTTCGCTGCCTGAGGTTCCTTCCTGTGACGCCGCATGGGGCCCAAGCAGCAGGAAGAGGCCCCAGGCGGCAAAGTGTAGGAGGATGAGGAAGGTAAGGAAGGCAAGGGGGGAAGAAAAGCCGTCCCCTTGCCCTCCTTACCTTACTCATCCTTCTCCTCTTCGCTGCCTGGGGCCTCTTCTTGCGATGCCGCATGGGGCCCAAGCGGTAGGAAGAGGCCCCAGGTGGCAAAGAGGAGGAGGATGAGGAAGGTAAGGAGGGCAAAATTCTTTTAAAAAAAAAAACCCGTGAAACAGCGAGTCTGCAAAAGGCGGACCTCAAAGGAGCGAGGAACCACTGTACTTCAAAATATTCTAAACCCTTTGGAAGAAAAACACTTAGTTTGGAATTAATTAGTATATAGTGAGCTCTCCATATTTGCTATATTTAGGGGCACGGGGCCCCTGCATAAGTGGACAAACCATGAATTAAAAAAAATACTTTTTAAAACCCCTATCTCTAGAAAGCTCCAGGCCCTTCAGTGCAATTATATAGTCAAAATCCAGCAGAAGATTAACTCAGAGTCACACTGGAGGACCTGGAGATTCCTAAAGAAACCATCTTAATCAAATGCGTGAAAAATCAAATCTACAAAAGTCAAACCTGCAAATGTGGAAGGTTAACTCTATATGCAATTCAACCACTGGGGGATATATGACATTTCTTTCTTCATTGCTCTTAATAAACTGGTAACACAGGCTGCAATTCATACAGCTACACAACTAAGATGTGTTCTGTATATTCCAAATTATTTGCATTTCCTCGTAACATCTAAAAAGGAATATATACCTGTAACTTGAAAAAAAAAAACACCCATAGTTCCAGAATAGCACCTATCTACTTGTATTCCCCAGCAAACACACTGCCACTGATACTAAAAAGGTACACATCAGGGCGGTCCCATCATCTTGACCATTAGAGGGGAATGACAATTGGTCAATACTGTAAACATATACATGGCACATCTCTGGAAGCATCAGAACTCCTGCGTGTTTCCATTAATCACATTTATATATTGATTTATAGTTGCCAGCAACAAAGGCTTCAAAATTTCTTGCTTTGTAGAAATCAACTCAAAATTTGATATTTCTGCAAAGGCTGGATAAATCCACACCATTAACAATGAATATTTGAAGCATTTCAAAGGGAAACAAAGAGAGTAACATAAATTGTAAGCTTACTGTGTTTTTGGTTCAAGGCTTTACCGGAGACTACTGATAAAGTACTTTTCTCTGCATTTTCTTGTTTTCTGGAAAGAGAAGCCAGTTAGACTAAAATAATTTTATATGTGCACTATTAAGCAATTCGTTCATTCTATACTGCCCAATGATTGTTCCTTCTTTTTAAAATAAATAAAGCAACTTTGCTCTCCAGAGTTCTCCACAGCAGTTTTCATCACCCAAAGGCTTTTGAATCCTCAGACAGGTAACATTATACATATTCTTCCTATGAAATGTTAAGCTATATACTAGACACATGTTAACAAAATGCATGTGTAATACTTGCAAAAGAAAATATTTTGTCCTTCAGTCCAAGGTACAAAAACTGGCTTATTTTTTTTAATCAGATTTGCAAGTCAATTCTTTAGTACATTATAAACATGTTGCTAACCTGGTGCAGTTTTTCATTGGGCAATACTTGCCCTCTTTACAGCAAAGTAGGTCATCTTTTTTGCTTACTTGCTGCTTTATCTGAACCTGCAAGAAATATTTTTATTAGTACTAAAGTTTCCAAAGCATTGACAGTCTAGATCAGAAGAGTAATTGAACTTGCAACATGTTCTAATACATGATACACAAATACCAGTGCAGATTAATAGCATGTTATTCTAAAGGAATTTGATGCCAAAACAAACAGCCAAAGCAAAACACAAAAGCTTAAGAAAGCAAGCTTGTTGTTCTCTGAAAGGGATTTAAGCTTTGATTTTTCTTTTGAGCAACTTCAGTTAAAGGACACTATACAATTGATGAAGGATCTATTTACCAAATGAAAATAGCACATTATTTACTACTGAGCGCTTAATGCTTTCTTAGTACATCATGTTACAGTTCAGATAAATAAAGATAAATGATGGAGAAACAAGAAGAATTTGCTCAGCTGCTACCCATTTGTATCTAACGCTCCATCTTGCCATCCACTTGCAAGACAGCTGTATGCATCCAACAGAACTCGTAAGTGGATCTGACTCACATATTTAACCAAACGATATACCTTGTACTGCAGTTTTGGCAAAATTTGGGGCCTTTACATTTCTATTTCTGTATTACATATATATTCTTTATCCTTTTAAATAATGCATCAACATGATATATCAAATTTAGTCTTGGCCTCACTAGCCTGACATCTGCTGTGGTTTTGTATTCTAGGTCCCATGATGTCAACAACTCACAAAGATTGTTAGGGCTGATGAAAAAAAGTTCAAAACATCTAAGATACATCAAATTGAGAAAATCTTTATTTCAAACCACTGATTTGGTCCACTGGTTTTTTATCACTTTAGTTATCATTGCTTCTTGTTAGTTGTATATTGCTTTCAAGATCAAGATCACTCAATATATGAACCAGTATGATTAGCTGTTCATGACAAATATGCTTTTCAACAAATATTTGTGGACAAGATACTAGGCGAACAAAAGGGGCAAGACATTAGCTTACATTATTTGTAAAGGTAAACCTCTTTCCATAGCTGAACATTGATACTATAAGAGGCAATACAAATTCAATAAAAATGGGAAAAAAACACCATTAAACTTACCTTTATACAGTCTTTCAAAGCATTTAGTTTATATACAGCTTGGAACTGTTTGCGGTCAACAGGACATGAAGGCCTAGTCTGAAAGAAGATTATGTTTAGCCTTTATCTCATAAAAAAATATTATAATCTGTGCTTTTAATTAGAATATCATCAACTTATTTTATGGATCACAAAGTTCAAATAAGCCTCTTGCACATTTCTCTGGGATCTGAAACTGGGAGATAAATTAGAAATCCAAATGATTATTGCTTAACTCAGTAAATCAATAAAGAATGAACCAATTAATCAGCTCCACAAAACTTAAAAACGCTGGGATGTGAATAAACGGTACAATGGACTATTCAGATGTACAGATGCTCCAGGTCTGCAATTTCCACACAACACAGATTTTTCATTAAGACATCCACGTGCTTGTTGCTGCCATTTGATAATGTTGTTCATTCGTTCAGTCGTCTCAGACTCTTCGTGACCTCATGGACCAGCCCACGCCAGAGCTCCCTGTCGGCCGTCACCACCCCCAGCTCCTTCAAGGTCAGTCCAGTCACTTCAAGGATGCCATCTATCCATCTTGCCCTTGGTCGGCCCCTCTTCCTTTTGCCTTCCACTTTCCCCAGCATAATTGTCTTCTCTAGGCTTTCCTGTCTCCTCATGATGTGGCCAAAGTACTTTAACTTTGTCTCTAGTATCCTTCCCTCCAATGAGCAGCCATTTGATAATATGGGGTGCAATAATCTGTGGCAGTTCCTGGAACCAAATTCCCACAGATCCCGAAGGCCCACTGTACACATTTTAATTTTTGAGGTGAATTGGAAACATTAAATATCACCTTTCTTCCCAGCAATAAATTGTACATATATAAATTTCAAACCAATAGACCCCAGAAAGATAAATAAAACAGTGCTTGAATTTCTTGACAGTCCTTACTGCAAATAAAGGAAATAATTGAATGGAAACACTTCTGGAAGAGAAAACTGTATAAATTTGAACATTCTGATCTATGGACCAGAACAACAGTAACTCATTTCTCCTACAGCACTTTCATTTTCACAAGAACAGCAAATATACCACATATAGTTATTAAGGGTGGTGTAACAGCCTGACAGCATATATTAATGCACAGTCTTTTAACAGTATCTCTCCACCACACCACAGATAGTTTCTTTCTTCCTAGGCTCAATCACATTGCATCTAGACAGTCTGCTCTCACCAATAACAACCTGCAGATATTTATGGTTGAAGTAGCTGCTGTCAGGCCTGGGGGATATTTTAATGCATTGTTTTCTATCCTTGGGGCCCATTCATATGCACCATTAAAAGAAAAAGACTGAAGATAGTAGCATGATAATAGAAAATCAGAATAACAATCTTTCCATACTTTGATACAATGAACAGAGACAACTATTAATTGTTGACCAGAAGATGACAAGAAAGAAATGGGATCAACTTACAGGAGCCGAGGAAACCAAAGTCATACTTATGCAACCTAATATTCATACCAGAGATGCAAGACGCTATATAAGCACCTCTCGAGATATCAGTTCTCTTTGGACAACATGTGTCCATGAAATTTTCTAGAACTGTAACACAACCTACAATTACTTTATAACCCAACCTATACATGAGCATATAGGCAATAATTACCTACATACTCATGTATATAAGTCTAGAAAACCTGGGTTGATTTATCCACGAGTCAGAGTACTGTATCTTAACTCTTATAAAAAAAGGAATGACCCCTTTTTTTGAAGTAGTGGTGGAAGGCAAGAGCTTAGGCCATCCTGGGAGAACCTAAAAGAAGCACTACGTCTCTCTATATGCTTCACCATGTGCCACTTCTGGCTTTTTTTAAGGTATTGGCAGGGAAATGATGGCGGTGGCCAATGACATTTGACCACCTGAACCACTGCTAGCAATTTCTCTTTTCTGCAGAATGACTCTCCACTTATCTATGGGTCATATCAAAATTCATAGTTTTGGCCTCCAAATATTCTCTCAACTTATATATATGAGATCAACATATATTTGAGTACACATGGTATTTTTGTAAGTCCTCTACTGCAGGTACACTCATGAAATGTAATGTTCCAAAGTTGCAGACAGTGCCATTGTGTATCAGATTTCCTCAGAAAGCAGAAGCAGGGAATCAAGAACAAAGGTAATGTAGTACCTCATTTTTAAAAATACAGAAGCAGAAATGGCAGCATTGATAATAATCAAATAGCGGAGCAACAATAAAGGGCAAAAGCGACCTTCAATGGGGATGGGAGGGAGTCACATTCTACCACGTATCCAAAATTGTGATGTAACAGCTTTGATAAAATCTGAAATATTTACACTGAGGCTAGGATAAAAAGGAATTGTTTGGGGGTATGTCCAGTGGGAGAGATGCATAGCTAAATATTTTTTCAAAGCATTTTCCACACTCTGCCTTTTTTATTTTATTCATTTACTATATTTATACCCTGCCCTTCTCACCCCAAAGGGGACTCTGAGCAGATTACAGTAGGCAAAAATTCAATGCCGCATAAAACAGATATAAAAATAAATAAACATATGCTTTAAAACCACAGAATTAAAAACATCTAAACATTAAAACTAATCATGTTGTGAACCGCTTTTGAAATTCTTCTCCATTTGTAAAAGGGGTTTGATAGGATATTAAGAAAAAAATAGTCTAAATGTTGCAGAGTTGTGTAAGCCCTCTCTATATCACTCTTTGTATGTCATCATCAATAGGAAACACAAACCATAGTAATTATTAAGAAACTGCAGAAAAACAGCTGGACTTACTTCTGCCCATTTAAGGATGCAGGCCAGACAAAAAATGTGACTGCAATTTTCTGGAAAACCAACTTCCTGCTCTGTCAGACAATTTAGACAGATGGGGCACCTGTCACCTTCATCAGGTAAAGTGCTTGAAGAACAGGAACAATCCTCTTCATTCTCTTTACCTGTTGTAAATTGTAGAAACCATGTATAGTTGAAGCAGCAAACCTCCACTTATGACATTTGACAGTTTTGTTCCAAATTTCCAATCTAAAAAGGAAATCCCGAATTTTGTGTAATAGGCTAGGATTCTAAGATACCCCATTCAGTATATAGTTTGTAATCCACTTTTTAGTTAAGGTCCATTAAGTGCCACAGAAGACAAAAAATGAGGGCCTTAAATGCAATGACACTTCAAGGCTAAGTTGACATAAAAAATAAAAAGGTCACCGAAAGATAGAAAGCACCCGCCAAGATTCTGATACATAAACAAGGCAATTGGTATGGTTTCAGAATCTGGCAGTCAGATGAAATCTATTTTGACTCACAACTGATAGTAGCTAAAAACACATATATTCACAATTAAGTTAATGGAATCCTTGTTCAAAAAGCTATTGGGACAATAACCATTGCTGCATACATTTCAATAACATCCTCAATTATTTTGATGCTATCTTGAATCAAAGTTAATTTTTATTTTATTTATTTTATCCATTATAAGACGTGATTTTATTTAATAGTATTTTACCATTCCAAATAGCTTGTCATTATTATCACCCTCACGATTGTCACTATCACTATTAGAATAATAGTGCAATTACTAAAACAAAAAAATCAGTCTCAAATTAATTCTTAAGTCTCAACTTGAGCAGATCTACTGAATCAATTGAATCTAAGTTCAATTGATTTAGTGTTACCATAAGATGACATTGTACCTCTTTCCGGACATTTCAGAAACATCCCTTCACACCATCATTTGAACTCTACAATTCTAGATCATTTTGCGTACCAGAAATAATGCTAACATGACTACATAATAACTTCCTTAAATAATTGAAGCAAAATAATATGTTTTAGCTAGGAGTTATACAGAAATCAGAAATAAAAAGCACCCCCTCCAAAAACCCCCAACAAACAAGTATCCCAAGATTTAAAAATATGGACTAATATTAAGTCATAGTTTGTGACCTAAACAAGAATAACACCCTACAATACCAAGGATGTTTTCAAAAGCTCTGAAATGGAAATTATCCTACAGAGGGCAAACAGGGGTATATGTGATCATCCTGCTAAAACCAGATGTCTCAAAGGATAATTCCTTTCTCAAATGGAGCATACTTCTTTACATTTGGATCTACATAGTTTTATTAGCTCTACTTCATGCTTTATTATTCATATTAGGTACCTTCGTTGCCTTCATGTTTCTCATCTTCACCATTCTGCAGACACTGGTTTTTATTCTTCATTTTTGCTTAAGAAACTCAACCTGCAAAATATTATCATCAATGCTTACACTGATATAATAAATCAGATAAGTATAATCACATATTAACTTCTGAAAGGCCAGAATAATACCAGAGTATAGATATTTTGCAGTAAAGTTCTAAGACATTTTAAAGCAGCAATCCCATGTATTTAAAATATAAGAATAGTACTATTCTCTGAACTATTTTTGATTAATATAAATTGCACACAATTCTCTACAACTTAAAATATATTCAAACAATGTTATCCTTTCTTCTATTTTTCTACAATGTTGCAACACATCAGAAAAGGTTATATACCACTTCATGCATTTTATATGTATTCATACTTGGAATTCAAGAGAGAAAAATAATAAAGGATACTTTTACTTGAAAAAGACAAGTTATAACTGGATCCAGATCAACACAGAAGAAAATAACATGTCTTACTAATTTTCCTTAACACCACATTCTCCTAAACCAGCAATAATATATATTTTTGAATTTGAAGCCACTGCTCTAGATTTACTTTACCTTTTCAAATTCAACTTCCTCACCACCCCATAGCAAAATTAGTATGTTAGCTTAGATCACAGAACACAGCAGTTTGCAACTCTCTCTAGTATTAATACCGCTTATATGAATCGAATCTGAAATCCTACAAACATTATCTAGGTTGTGGTTCAACAGGGCTTATTTCAGATCAGACATGAAATTGTACTACAATATTTATCACTTAAGGCAGATCAGGATGTGGGATTACAGCCTGTGTTGGATGGGGTCACATTCCTGCTGAAGACACAAGTTCGCAGTATGGGGGTGATCCTGGACTCACCACTGACCCTGGAACCCCAAGTGTGGGCTATGGCCAGGACCACCTTTTCACAGTTAAAGCTTGTGCGCCAGCTGTGCTATGGTAGTCCACGTTTCAGTCAAATCCTGTCTGGACTACTGCAACACTATCTATGTGGAGCTGCCTTTGAAGACCATTTGGAAGCTATAATTAATTCAGAGATCGGCAGACAGGTCAATAACTGGGGCTCTGTACAGGAAGAGAACCACTCCGATGTTGCAGAAGCTCCACTGGCTGCCAGTCTGCTTCCGAGCTAAATACAAAGTGCTGGTTGTTACCTATAAAGCCTTAAATAGTTTGGGTTCAGGCTATTTGTCAAATCGCATCTCCCTAGATAGGCCACCTCTGGCACTACGGTCCGTGGAGGAGGCCCTGATCTTAGTCCCAACCCATCACAAGCATGGTTGGTGCGAATGAGATAGGGGGCCTTCTTCATGATTATTCCCCATCTCTGAAACTCCCTCTCTAAAGAAATAAATATGACCCCCACCCCACCCCTTCTTTAAAAAAAACGCTTGAAAACGCACCTTTMCACTTTATGGAGAGGAGGAGGACTAGGACACTCTAAACTAATCTTATTTGAATGTTGGCTGACTTACTATAGCAGCTAATTTTTCATCTATTTTAATTGCTTTTATCATGATAGATGTTTTAACATTGACGATGTCATTAGTGTAATTTGTTTTATGTAATTAGTTGTATCTTGTTTTTCATTTTGATGTTAATTCTTTTATYTGATAAGCTCACTGTTATAATTTTATATTATGTTGTATTACTTTAAATGTATRTGCATTTGTTTGGGCATTGAATGTTTGCCTTTTTGTGTGTAAATCGCCCGAGTCCCCTCGGGGAGAGGGGGTGATCTATAAATAAAGTTGTTGTTGTTATTATTATTTTACTGGCACAAAAAAAAAAAAAAGAAAGTTGACAGGGAGAAGACCTGGTTATGGCTCATGAATGGAACACTGAAGGAGACAGAAGGCCTGATTCTTGCAGCCCAGGAGCAAGCCATCAGAACAAATGCAATTAAGGCCAGGATTGAAAAATCAGCTGATAACCCAAAATGCAGAGTGTGCAAGGAAGCTGATGAAACTATGGACCATATCCTTAGCTGTTGCCAATAAAATTGCACAGACAGACTACAAACAAAGGCACAACTCTGTGACACAAATGATTCACTGGAAATTATTATTATTACTATTACTGTTACTATTATGATTATTATATAGGGCTAAAATCCTATTTACCCTTGCCTGGGAATACCTATATACTCATAACATTTTTGAATAGAGTGGTATGATGCAAAAGCTTAGGCAGTCTCTGCAGAACCTAAAACAAACACTGATTCTTTGTTGTGACACCTCGTCTGGAGTTTCTTGAATGCCTAGGGTAGTGAAAGGATGACAGTGGCCAAGGTCAGAGGCACTGATGCCTTCCCTGCTCTTACAGAATGATCCTTGACTTAACCACCGGGTCACATCAAGAGCAGTCATTTTGGTCCTAAAACCTGTCCCTGACTTATAAATGAGGTCAACAAATAAATGAGTATATACAGTAAATAAACAAGCACTGCATTCTGCAAAATTCATGGATAAGACAAAAAGTGTAAGTTTAGATATAGTAAAAAAAACTTCTGGTTGCATATATTTAAACTTTCTTTATAATTTCTGACTTTCAGATTTTCTGAAAAGTTACATTTCTAACTGAAGCCTTCGAAAACTTGTTGTAGGTAATGTCAGAAATCCTAAAGAATAACTGACACAAAAGTCCTTCCCCTGTTCCATTTGTGAATGCCTTCACCAAACAGCTTCCATTATTCATCATCACAATAGTCATAATTTGTGATGCCGAAGGCCACTCTGAATATATTACAAGTTGGAGAACAAAAGATAAATATATACATTGAATTATATTTTTTAAAGGGTCAAAAGTTTTGTGTCAGCTCCACCCAAAGACTTCTTACCCAGGTCTTTTTTTTTMGGGGGGGGGGGGGAAGGAAGGGTAATGCAGCTGTTTAAAAGTCTTCGAAAATAACGTACAGAKAGTAAATTACTATAACATTCATAAAGAAATTCTACAAATTCCAATAAATATGTAAATTAATACACAAAAATACAAGCAACTCATATATCCTGCACCCTGCTCTTTGCTGTTTGGAGTCTCACTATCTCAAACACCTGTTACAACATATTTAGTATGTTGTAACCACTCATACCCTTGGATTAAGCAAATATGTACACGACTGCAAGCAAGATTTTCAGATCTGCAGGTAGTTTTACAAAAAGTGCAAGGAGAGCACAAAAATCTGACTTGATGTTGAAATCATAACATTCACATGTTTAGGCTTTTAAGATTGAGTGTAGGAAGAGGTCACTGAAATTTAAATGACTTAGACTCTATTAAGTGTCATGCTGGCTTCAGGTTACAATAAAGTTTACTGAGACAAAACCAGAACTGACTTCTATTTTTGAAAAATATAATCCAAACGCTAATAAAGAGTTATCTCTAGCTGAAACACACAGATGCAAAAAAATGAAGAGAAACTGAGAAGTTTTTGTATTAGCAAAGCTAAAGATAAATTTTGGCCATGCGTTTAAAAAATCATTAAAAATACAACTGGATTCAGAATTTATGATTTGTCACCAGAGAAAGTAGCACATAAACCTTCTAGGTAGATATATACCATTCTAGCTGTAGAATTTTACTTTTCATTAATATTAATATTATTTTATTTATTTGTATTTCACCTTCCTCCTTAGATTAAGACTCAAGGCAACTAACATAGCAAACCAATACAAGGTAAGAATAATACAAAGTGAACAAACACTTTATAAATGCTCAGGGGTCACACAAATCAATAAATTAGATTGTTCCACATTACACATAGAAAAGAGATGGGGGCTGCTGGCTTTACAATGTTGTTGAAGTACAACTCTAAACTATCTTCATTATTAGTATTACCAGCAAGAGCTAATGAGAGCTTCAGTTCAACACGATCTGGAGAGATCTGGATGAAGTAAGCTGTCTTGAACTGTAAGAAACACTCCCACTCACAGTGAGGGAATACTTTTATTAAACGAATGTTAACTAAATGTAAAAATCTACGTTTGGCTTAATAATTCTCTGTCTGATTGATCGATATTTTGAAAGCCAGGATCTGACTTTCTAATTGCCTGCCAGACCACTACCACACCAATTAACTAGCCAGCAAGCTGGTGAAAAAACTGAGAACATCAATAATGTCTATCTTTACTGTGAATAAAGAGCCAGAAGAGTGGTACCAAACAAAGTCTGCACAACAATTTCATAAAGAGGAAACCAGACGGCACCATTGTCAGTTTTTTTAAAGGAATGGTACAAAACAAAGACCAAATACTTACTAATAAAATAATATACCTTCCCTAAAAATAATTGCTCTAGAGTAATACAGAAATGGACTTGGACACTGGTCGAGCTTTATCAAGCTTAATAAATTACTGATATCTTATCATAAATCATTAATTTAACAATACATACATTTTTAAAAAGTCAATTCAAATGTTTTTCTTTCCCTACTGTCTATATTTTTCTTAAGCAAAGACACAACTTAAATGGGGGAGGGGGTTGCAAATCATTACAAAACCAATCTTCCTCACTAGCTGTTTAATCAGCTACTTTGGATTGGAAAAGATATTTCTTCCTCTTTTCTATGCATGCATGTTATAACCAAATCTGGACAGATAAATGTGTGCAAATCTCAGGTTCTCATCTCCACATTTTAAGGCTGAAGTTTTCCTCTGTGTAACTATGAGAATTAGAGGAACCCTGAGTCCCTTTGTGGAGAGAGGACAGGTTAAAAATAAACTATTATTATTATTGAAAATAGTTGCAAATCCATTTATTTTAAAATCTTAAGACAACTGCCTTTATCATTATATACAACTCCTGAAGTCGTTATAAAAACTAGTTGGGTGGCAAATGAGGATGGACCCTGACAAGGAAGATGACTGCCACTACAATAGCAATGTTTGAACTGGACAATGAACATAATTTAAATACTTCTAGTATAAAATTCAATTAATCACAGTGCCTTTCAGGGAAGATTACTGACCTATGTGTGTATGCACACACAATCCATCTCATTTGACAGCTATCTATTATCATAAAATCACAGAGTTGGAAGAGACTGCACGGGCCATCTAGTCCAACCCCTTGCCATGAAGGGAAAGCACATTCAGAGTACTCCTGACAGATGACCATCCAGCCTCTGTTTAAAAGCCTCAAAAGAAGTAACCTCCACTACACTCCAAAGAAGAATGTTCCACAGCTCTTCCTAATGTTCAGGTGGAATCTTCTTTCCTGTAATTTGAACCCATTGCTTCAAGTCCTAATCTCTAGGGTAGGCATCCTTAAACTGCAGCCCTCCAGCTGTTTGGGCCTCCAACTCCCAGAAGCCCTTGCCAGCTTGTTCAATGGTCAGGAATTCTGGGAGTTGGAGGCCAAAACAGCCGGAGGGCCGCAGTTGGAGGATGCCTGCTCTAGGGCAGCAGAAAACAAACTTGTTCTCTCCTCCTCATAATATTCTTTCATATATTTATTCATGACTATCATGTCTCCTTCAACCTTCTCTTCTACAGGCTCAACATACCCAGCTCTTTAAGATGCTCCTCATAGGGCATGGTCTCCAGACCTTTGATCCCTTTAGTTTCCCTCCTCTGGACACCTTCCAGCTTGTCAATATTTCTTTTAAATTGTCATGCCCAGAATTGGACACAATATTCCAGGTGGGGTCTCACAAAAGCAGAATAGAGGGGTACCATGATTTCCCTTGATTATCACAAACAAGAGCATATAATAACTAACAGTCTAAATGTACCAGATCCTGTTTGATCTTGGAAGCTAAGCAGAGTCAAGCTGCTAGAAATGAAAAAGCATCAACACTTGCATACAAGGTGCATGTCTGCTATCTTGTTTTCACCTGTTCCCTAGATCTATGTAGCTCAAGGTGTTTAGCTTCTTGCCTGCATTTAGTCATTACTTCCCCCTTCTTCCCTGAAGTCTTTAGTGTATTTTATTACCCTTTGTTTGAGAAGAGCACACCATGAGTCCTATCTCTGTCTCAAGCTGCCTTACACAGGCACATGAAAAACAATATTAGGGACTCTTTCCTTAAAGTTACATAAATTTCTTTTGTCTGTCTATTCTTTTATCTGAGATTTACTACTTTTTAACCTTACATGACCATGCTGCATATTTTCTCTCCTGTTTCCTACCATATAGCACTGTTCACGCTGCACTCTATTCAGCTATAGATACAAAATATTCCTACACAGGCCTGGTTAGTATGACGACAGAAGATCACCAATAAATACTTGTCGTGGTAGGCAAATCCACCTCTGAGCAATTTCTTGTCTTAAAAACCCTAGTAAATTAATCAAGGCATCGTAAATACACATAAATACTGTTGCTGCATGCTTAACCAAGTTAACTGCAAAACAAAAAACAAAAAAACCCTCATAGAATGTAAACTGATATAATCAGATATGTCACTGAATCTATGTTCAGCTTTTGGTTTTCTTAGTACACCCCAATGTATGGTTTTTACTTAATTTCAATCATTTGAAAAACATGAGTTTGCAATGGCTGGAAAGTGAAAGTGCAAATTTCCTGTTACATTTACTATATACCATGTTAGACAAGAAAGAACAAATACAGATAGCAGTCTCTCCTGTCTGTTTACTTCCTATTGGCCTTGTGCAGCCAACATTTTGTATAACAATCCCTTCAGGCTACGTTTGTATGACGTCTATGAAATATAAATTAAACTTTGTGTTTAGACCTATCTCCAAGATATCTCATTATATACATATGCAAATGCAAGTATTAAAAATGAGAAAAAGTACAAAACACTTCCGATCCCAAGCATTTCAAATACAATATGCACAACCTGTTATATACTGCACTTTCAAAATGCCTGATATTCAGCTATCCTTACAGTTATCTAGAGCGGGGCTTCTTAAACCTTTTCCACTTGTAACCCCTTTCCACCCAAGGCATTTTTACATGACTCCAGGAATATAGATATATAAAATAGGTATAAAACATTTACTGATAATAAATCAGCATTTGCAAGGCTTGCTAAACAGGCTGTTTTTCTTTTTTGTAGTGTACACTGAAGTGCTGTCTACAGCACACTAGACACTGTTGCTAACAGATTTGTGTGAATGTGTGGTGTTCAGAAACACTTTACCAAATGTTTCATGACCCCAACATTTAACCACAAAGAAGTAGTGTTCTAGAGCAGCATTTCTCAACCTGGGGGTCATGAGGGGGTGTCGGAATGGTCACCATGGACCATCAGAGAACACAGTATTTTCTGTTGGTCATGGGGGTTCTGTGTGGGAAGTTTGGCCCAATTCTATCATTGGTGGGGTTCAGAATGCTCTTTGACTGTAGGTAAACTATAAATCCCAGCAACTACAACTCTCAAATGTCAAGGTCTATTTTCCCCAAACTCCACTAGTGTTCACATATGGGCATATTGAGTACTCCTGCCAAGCTTGGTCCACATCCATCAGTGTCCACAGTCCTCTCTGGATGTAGGTGAACTACAACTCCAAAACTCAAGTTCAATGTCCACCAAACCCTTCCAGTACTTTCTGTTGGTCTGTGTGCCAAGTTTGGTTCAATACTTTCAGAACGCTCTCTGACTGTAGGTTAATATAAATCCCAGCAACTACAATTCCCAAATGACAAAATCAATCCCCCACCAGTCTTCAAATCTGGGTGTTATCGGGTAACACCCAAATTTGCCAAACTTGGTCCAGTGAATGAAAATACATCCTACATAGAAGATATTTTTACATTATGATCCATAATTTAAAAAAACAAAAACACAGTTATAAAGTAGCAACAAAAATAATTTTATGGCTGGGGGTCACCACAATACAAGGAACTGTATTAAGCGGTTGCGGCATTAGGAAGGTTGAGAACCACTGATCTAGAGGATCTAACGTGTATAACCTGAAATCAGCTTGTCTTACAGTGAATTCAGATTGCTGATTCAAAGGGCCCTTCCAAGCTGGCTCTATATCCCAGGATCTGATCCTAGGTTTTCTGCTTATCCCAGATTATCTGGCAGTGGGGACTCATATAATCCAGTTTTAAGCAGAAAACCTGGGATCAGATCCTGGGTTAAAGGGCCTGTCTGGAAGGGCCCTTAAATTGTAGGTCCCAAGCTTAATGTTGGGGTCAAAGAAAATTTGACAACAATAAAAGGTTTCTGGATGCCACCTAGACATTCACACAAATCTGTTAGCATGTAGTGTTTACAGCAAACTCTGTAGAAAATGCTTCAACTACATTCCACAAAAACATAAATCAATCTGTTTAGCAAGACTTCCAAACGTTAATATAATATCAGCAAAGGTTTGTTTTCTCAGGCAAAAAGGGGTCAAGAGTGGGAAAAGTTGAAGAAGCCTGGATCTAGTTGAAGATGCAAATGTCACTTTCACAAATAAAGAGGACAGACTCCCTGGTATATAAAACAACACACAGTCCCTTTGACACCAAGCTCATAAGTACGGATTCAGGCCCCTTCCATATAGATGAATAAAATACTACATTCTCTGTTTTGAACTGGAATATATGGCAGTGTGGACTCTGATAACCCACTTCAAATCTGCTATTGTGGGATTTTTCTGCCTTGATATTCTGGGTTATATGGCTGTGTGAAAAGGGCCCTCAGACATGTGCATTTATTTTCTGAACTTAATCTGTGTCCAGAAGGCAAACATAAGCCAGCGATGTAAAACAAAAACAGAAAAAACACAAGCCAGCAGCAATGTGGACAATCAGGGCTTCTTGACAAGGCAGATCTGTCTCAGGGTCCTTCCACACAGCCTTACATCTCAGAATATCAAGGCAGAAAATCGCACAATATCTGCTTTTAACTGGGTTATCTGAGTCCACACTCCGATAATGTGGGATTTCCTGCCTTGATATTCTGGGATATAGGGTGTGTTGAAGGCCCCTTTGGGAAGGAGTTCCACACAGCCATATAACCCAGAATATCAAGGCAGATAATCCACAATACCTGCGGTGAACTGGGTTATCTGAGTCCACACTCAGATAATGTGAGATTTCCTGCCTTGATATTCTGGGATATAGGGCTGTGTGGAAGAACCCTCAGTGTAAGAACTCAACACACAAAGGAGATCTGAGAAGGGGCCCGCAGAAAGAGCAGCTCTCTCTGGGGTTAATAAGAGGCCAAGGGAGGCTGCGAAGGCCTTCTCGTTTGGTAACTTTTGCTCCAGGTTCTGGGAGGGAAACTTCCACGGCCAGGCGATCGGGCAAGGGACGTGAGACTTTGACCCTGGCTGCGTGAGCCGCCCACTGAGGGCTGGGCCCGCCTGGTGGGCCTCGGGCCTAACCGTGAGTGGAGGCCGTCGGACAGCCTTTCCCTCGAGGCGCCCGCGCTTCCCCCTTTGTTCCCCTCACAGGCGCCGCCGCCGCCTTACCGCCTTCCTTCGTCAGGGAGGCCTGGCTCCGCAGGCTTCGAAGGCCGGAAAGTCAGCAGCAGGCCGCTCTCCTCCTGAGCCCGAGCGCGCGCCCGCCCGCGGTCACATGTCCCTTCACGGCAACGGTAGTCGGTGAGGGCAAGGCCACGCCCCCTTCCCCCCTCCTACTCCTCCTGCTGCCACAGAAGGCCGCGCGGCGCCGCTGCTGCCCAATCGCCTCGCGCTAAGGCAGGAAAGACGTGACCGCCTTGGCCTCGCCGCCAACGAGACGGGGCCGGGCGGCTTTTCCGCTGGCGCCACCGGAAAGGAGAGCCGAGTCGGCCCCCTAGCGGCGGGGAAGACCCCGGCACCCGCCTCGCCTGTTGGGCGCATGCGCGGGGGACAGCCAGGGAGCGCGGGCGTGTCGTAATGCCGCCTCCGAGATTGCGCGATGTAGCTGCAGCCGTGCTCTTCCTGGCCTGGTTTCAGCGCGTGGCACCCTGGGGTTTGTAGTCCGTGAGGATTCCTGACCCAGAATGCCGAGACCCGGAAATGGCTGAGGATGATAGTGACGTCGTTGCTTTGTGGTGGCTCAATGACGTACGCAGTCAACTTAAGAACGGAACCTGTCTTGTTCGTAACTTGGGGACTGCCTGTATAGGAAGCATGAATTACTGTATGTTTATGGAAATACAGGTATTTGGAAGTCCCAAACACCACTGGTCCCAAGCATTTGGGGATTAGGGATACTTAGCCTGGAATACCGCGTCATACTAGAGCAGGCATGGGCAAACAGCCTCAGGCTGTTAAGCGGCTGAGGGGGAAAAGGAAGGGGCCTGAGGCTGTTAGGAATGGTGGGAGTTGAAGTCCAAAACACCTGGAGGGCCGAAGTTTGCCCATGCCTGCACTAGAGCATGGCTGCACTTTAAATCTGTTTTCTGCCTCCTGCAGAATTCTGGAGCTTGTAGTTTAAGGAGTGGCCTTTAAACTGCTCAGCCAGGTCCTGGGCCTCACAAACTACAAACTCTGGAATTCTGCAGGAGGCAGAAACCGGATTTAAAGTGGATCCGTGCTAGTGTGATGAGGCAGATAACTGTCCAGCGTGTGTTACACTCCAGAACAGGAAAAGCCCTCTGACTTTAAACACCGCACCGTTGAGTAGGGAAACAATCCTTTTATTTAAGATAATTAAAAAGCAGTAAAGTAAAAAAGCACTTTAGAGAAATAGGTAAATCCAATTAGGTGAAAAGATAAGCAGGAACAAAGTAGTCCTGGGTAATAGTCCAGCAAAGTCCGTAAAAACAAAACAAAATGCAAGAAATCAGGAAACATTAATCCAAGGCATGAATATAAAATCATAGAATCCAAGAATCAAAACCATAAAACAAAAGACACTTAAACATGAATTTTCCAAGCAGAGCTTCCATGAAACAAGGACAAGATCTTGATTCCAAATGATGCTTCATCCGACTACATATCCTGTACTTGGGACTTTTATCTCCTCGTTAGCACTCAGAAATTGGTTTCACTTTATCTGAGAGTCTCTTATCTTTTTTTCTCGGAGCCTGGCAGAACACCGAAGCCACTGTTTGGCTTTTCTGTTTTGACTAATCTCCTCCCATCTATCTATTTGCTCATTAATTTCTGCAAGTGCCGAGCTGTTTTCAAGTTCCAAATCATGGGAACTCTCTGGTAGCAATTTAGGGAGCACACCATCATCCCCACACCCTGTAGGGACATTCTCATGGGAAACTTCACTTTGAACAGGGATCTCCTGGTCATTCTCTGCATCAGTATCATTGACCAAACTATTGCCATCTTGAAACTCATTGACATCACTCCCCACATCCAAAGCACCCTGATCCTGAAACACAATAACAGGCTGAGCTCCAACAGCGTGAATACAAACGGTTTTGAGGGAAGGGATTGCTACTGTGTTAAGATGTGGCTATGTCATGGTTAAGGCCCCTGGTGACACAGTGGGTTAAATCGCTGAGCTGCTGAACTTACTGACCGAAAGGTTGGCAGCTTAAATCCGGAAAGTGGGGTGAGCTCCCACTGTTAGGCCCAGCCAACCTAGCAGTTTGAAAACATACAAATGTGTGTAGATCAATAGATACCGCTTTGGTGGGAAGGTAGGGGCGCTCCATGCTGGCCACATCACCTTGGAGGTGTCTACACAACACCTGCTCTTTGACTTAGAAATGGAGATGAGCACTACCCCCCAATTGCAGACACGACTAGACTTAATGTCAGGGGAAACCTTTACCTTTAGCTATGTCATGGTTATGCTTTGTCCGTGAGGCTTAAATAAGGACATTGCCCCTCCAAATATGAACTATGCAACGAAGGTCTGCATAGTTAAAGCAATGGTATTCCCTGTAGAAACCTATGGATGTGAGAGCTGGACCATAAGGAAGGCTGAGTGAAGGAAGATAGACACTTTTGAACTGTGGTGTGGCAGGAAAATTCTGAGAGTCCCTTGGACGACAAGAAGATCATACCAGTCCATCCTCCAGGAAATAAAGCCTGACTGCTCACTGGAGGGAAGGATATTGGAGGCAAATATGAAGTACTTTGGCCACATAATGAGACAACAGAAAAGCTTTGAGAAGATAATGATGCTGTGGAAAAGGGAAAGAAAAAGGAAGAGGGGCCAAGCAAGGACAAGATGGATGGATGGTATCCTTGAAGTGACTGGCTTGACCTTGAAGGAGCTGGGGGTGGCCATGGCCAACAGGGAGCACTGCGTGGGCTGGTCCATGAGGTCAAGAAGAGTCGGAAATAACTCAACGAATAAACAATACAATATACTTACTCCTAGATGTTTCTGTATCTAGTCTGGCTGCCATGTTTTGAACCAACTGGAGTTTCCAAACTTGGTACAAAGGGAGTGTAATGGTCTGAGTGGTTCAAAGATAACGTCAAGTCTTCTTTTATTTTCAGTTGGGATCTCAAGTAGGATAACTCCTTCAGTCTCGGACACCCCGAGTCTTAGACTACAATGGATTATATAGTTGGCATGTGTACAGACATTCCATTCTCATTGGGTATCTCCAAGTCTCATGATGGGGTCATACACCCTGGAAGTGTCTAATCATGTCTTAAGCATTCACTGATCATGCTTTGCTACTGAATCTGCACAACCTACTGGTTTACAGATATTGCCTTTCAGTAGCCCAACTGAAAAGTGCATTGCAGAAATCCAACCTTGAGGTGACCAGTGTGTGAACTTCAGGTCCTCCGAATCTAGGAAGGGGTGCATCTGGTGTATCAGGTGCACCCCTAGTAGTACACTCCTGACCGTTATATCTACCTGAGATGACATTTGGATCCAGGAGCACTCCCAAGCTGTGAACACAGTCTTTCAGGGGGGAGTGTAACCCCACCCAGAACTAGTTGACACACCTCCACCCCAGATTAGGACTCTTAATGACAATCATCTCTTGTTTTGTCTGGATTCATAGAATCAGAGTTGGAAGAGACCTCACGAGCCATCCAGTCTCAATTAGATTTTCATTACCCAGGCCATTACCTGGATGATATGAAAAGAGTTCTCGGTGTGAAAAATTTTCAGTGTCTCACTCTTGGCAATGCTAGAAGATTGGGGACTAAACGAAAATTGAATTCTGTGGGGCAGAATGCTTATTGGGAGCAATGTTCTCATTTTGACACACACAACTGAACTGTGTTTTACTTCTGTGCTTTTAATGAGTTGCTGTCTCAGTTCAGAGTCTAACTTTCCTGGCCTCAGAGTCATAATTCATTGATAGAAAATATCATTAATCACCTACGGTAAAAAATTAGTTAATATCTTGAGTTTCGAACAACTAACGTCCAGACATTTCAATTAATTTGGATATCACAGAGTCTGTAGAATGAGTGCTGACATTTAAATCAAGTATGGATTGTGTGAAGAATTTGTTTATTTGCTCAGCCATTGAAACTCTCATTGGGTGACTTTGGGCAAGTTATACCCTCCCAGCCACAGAGGAAGCCAATGACAAAACTCCTCTGAAGAGAGTTATCAGAAGTCAGGGTCAACTTGAAGGTACACAGGAACAATAAAATATGCCTTCCTGAACATTTGCAGAGTGTTCCATCCCTTGTTTGTAAATCTCAGTTGAATTATTTTGCCTGACATGGCTTTGTATCCTTGTATATTCTGATTACATGAATTGGTCAGTGTGTTTTGTATTATATTGCTTTATTTGTTGTATTTTATCTGGACGATTTGGTTTGCAATTGTATTGTACAGTTTTGTGTTGTATTCGTCCTTCCCTCTGTATCTGTATGTTTATGCATATATATTTTAAATTGCATGCCTTTGGAAGGACTAATTGGTTTTTAGTTATTTTACTGTAAAAATCCATGTACATTTGATGATGATGATGATGATGTGTGTGTATTTCCATACAACACATACATACATATGCACAACAACAATAGAGGTGCAAATATCTTTATGTACATAATGTGTTGGTTTTAGGAAATGGAGAGTCCAGTCTTAATTAAGAGTTCTTGATTCATTGGGTGAATTATAAGTGACCATTTTTCTCCATTATGATAGATTGGGAGTCCCTTTGGACATACAACTCTTACTTTAAAAATGCATTCTTGAATCAATTGAACCATTCATGATCCAGCTCTGCAAATATGTTATTTAGGCGTTGTATCCATTGTTTTAGTTTAATTTTAATAAATGGAGCCCCCTGGTGGCACAATGGGTTAAACCCTTGTGCCGAAAGGACTGCTGATCAAAAGGTTGGTGGAGGAGGAGGATGAGCTCCCGTCTGTCACCTCCAGCTTCTCATGCGAGTACATGAGAGAAGCCTCTCATAGGATGGTAAAACATCCAGGCGTTCCCTGGGCAACATCCTTGCAGACAGCCAATTCTCTCACACTGGAAGTGACTTGCAGTTTCTCAAGTCACTCCTGACATGAAAAAAAGTCTTAATATGTTGAAGCTGTGTGGATTTCAATGGCAAAATTGTGATCTAATTCTCAGATCTGTTTGTTTCCTGGAACAGAAAAATAGAATCTGTAAAACTGAACAGTTATGTATAACTGAAGTTTCCATGCTGTGTTTCATACGCCCAATTGACAAGCAGTGTCATCTACTGGTAATGGCAGGAGACGGAAGAGACCATGAATATCACTTATGTCTTCCATAATGTTCTTTATATCCCTGATTGGGAGCTCATTTTTAATAGGAGAGTCATATTATCAATAAACCAGATGAGAGTGACACTGGCCCTGCTAATTTCTTCACTTGGGTTTAAGGAAACTCATAAATGAAGGCT